ACCTTACGGATTTCTATAACTTCACATAAACTCTAAATTTAACGATAAAAAAAAAAAAAAACTCTTATTTTTAAACGATTATTAGCTAACGTTATTATTAGCTCGATAAATGTTATATAAATTATTTTCTAATAAGAAATATATATTTAATAATAGTGATAATAATAATAATAATAATAAATCACATATGATGTTATTTTAAATTAATATTTCTAAACTCATAACTCATACGTACTTTCGTTAAATTATAACAAAATAAACTTTCTTATTAATACCGAGAACAATATTAACGATAAAATTAAAAAATCATTTTCAAAAAAAAAATTTAAAATGAATCCATTTCTAGAATATCATTTTAAAAAAATTTTTGTAACCGTCATCGAATTCGAAAACTCGTTTTGAAATTTTGAAATTTTCACTACCCGTTTTATTTAAACTGATAAGTTTTTTTGTAAACTTAAAAAGTAACAAAATAAGCACAATTTTTTATCTTAATAATTATCATAATCCGTCAAAAAAAAAAAAAAAATGAAACGTAATCATTTTTTGCAATCATTAGTCATTTTGTCGCAAAACTGCTGACGCGGAAAAATTATGACAAATTCCTTTTTTTTCGGGGCCCTAATTTAACCGCTCATAATTTATTTACATTACCGAATCGTTATGCGTTTAATAACTTTTTTTTTCTACTTGTGATAATTCGTCGAATTAAATATTAAAGTTTCATTTTCTTTTACTTCAAGGATTCTCATTTCATCGTAAGTAATCTTTTTGGTCGTTTTTATATAATTTAATTACGATTTAATAACGAAAACAAAACAAAAAATCATATTTTTTTTTTCCCTCCCAAGTGTTCTCTATTAAAAAAAAAAATGGCCGTGTAATCGCCCCCAACTTAAATTTTTTTCTTTTTATTATATTTTTCTTTTATGTAATTATCTACTTTGGATATTAATTCTTTCTTTGTTTTGTTTTTTTTTTTTTAATATTAAATAATACATTATTAATTTCATTTTACAATTATTAAAAAGAAACAAATTAAAAATTATTATTATTATTACAACAAAACTAATTAATTCAAATAAATCAATTATAATGATAATAATAATCGAAAACATTATAAAAAACAAACAAATTATTTCTTATTGAATCCGTTATGTGGGGGGAAGAAAAAAAATGAATTGTGATGATAATAATAATAATAATAAATTTCCCAGTGTATAATATATATTTTCCCCCATGGGTCATTCATTACCTTTTTTTTTTTAAAATTAATAAAAATAAATGTGCTTATTATTATTATTATTTGTTGTAAAAAAATTTCCTTTGATGTTCATTTTTTTTTTGGACGTACCCACGAGTGGTTTAAAAACTCGTTTATTTCAACTTTTTATAAAAAAAAAAGTTTTATTTTATTTTATATAATTCTTTGTGGTTTTTTTTAATTTTAAACTAATTCATGTAACTTCATATAAGGTAATATATATATATATGTTCATGTTTTTTTTTTTTTTTTTTTGTTAGAAATTTTACATTGTTTCATTTTTTTGTATGTTTTTGTAGTATTAGAAAGGGATGAAATTTTTATTTTGTTTTATGTTAAAATATTTTTACAACTCAAGGGGAAGACAGGAAAATGATTATTAATAAAAGGAATAATGATAATAATATAATAAAAGAGGAAAAAAGATTGGAAAACAGAACTTTGGAAATGTTCCAGGATGTGTGGAATGAAGGATGATAAAGGATTTTTAAGGGGAGCACTGGGAGCAACAGCAAGAGGACACACTGGATTAAAGGATATTTTAAAAACGTTACAGGGACTTGGGAGAAGGACAGCACCATCCCCGAACATTCAAGAACATTCCCCTAAAGGATTGGGTTAAGGAAACCTGGAATAAATGTTTGAAAACTCCATACATGAGAATTGTCATACTGGAAAAAACTTTAAATTAATAATAATAATAATAATAATAATAATAATGATTTCCCTTTAATCAAACTTGTCATTAAAATTGTTAAAAAACGGCGTGATAATAATAATAATAATGTTAATTTGTAATATTTTGATGTTTTTGGAAATATTTACTCACGTTTAATTTTTGTTAATTGTTCCCCCCAAAAGAAAAGAAATATTAATAATAATAATAATAATTTTAACTATAAGAAAAAAGTTTTTTCTTTTCTTTTCTTTTCTTTTCTTTTCTTTTTTTTTTTTTAAATAAACTTGTTAAAAGAATTTAATTAAAAGTAAAAGAAAATATTTAAATTTTTTTTATGTAAATTGTTTTAATAAAGAAAAAAGTTAATGTGAAGTCAACTATAAAAATTATTAGCCACCATATTTTTTATTATTAAAAAAAAAAAATGAAAGTAAAAGCAGGGAAAAATAATAATAATAATAATAATAATATTTTTGGGTTCAAAATTTTCTTCCTTTTTTTTTTTTTTTATAAAACGTTTATGGTCTAACCAAATTTATTACAATTTAAAGTTTAAATTTTCTTTTTTTAAATTACCACTTTTTTTTTTTTTTTTCAAATACATAAAATTTAATTAAATTTCTCTCTCTCTCTCTCTCACTCTCATCAAATTATTATTATTATTATTTTTTTTTGTAAAGTATTTTAAAAAACGTCGCCATTAAAAAAAAAAGAAAACTTTTTCCTTTTTAAAACAAAAAAATTAAAAAATTAAAAAATTATTGTAAACTTTTTAAATTTTTTTTTTGCTCCCCTCATTTTTTAAAGGGGAGAATCAATTTAATTTTTTTTACGAGAATAATAATAATAATAATAATAATAATATTGTGAAGTTTGTATTTAAATTTCACACGTAAAATAATCAAATTTGATTGTGTGAAAATTTGTAAAAATTTATGTTTTAAATTATTGTTTTGTTGTAAAATAACTAAAATTAATCGTTAAACGTTAACAAAAAAAGGAAAATTAACGAGTGGTGATGATGATGATGATGATTCTGATGATTTTTTTCATATGAATTTCGGTCACGGTTTTCCACACACACACACACACACGCACGCAACACTCGAGTTAATAAAATTGAAAACGAAATTAAATATTGTACGATGCGGATATATAAAGGTTTAAATATCAATTTCGTGATACAATTAAATAACAATTAAGTAAATCTTTTGTGAGAAAATCAGTTAACCATTTAAATTTGTTACTCAGATTCCGAGAATCTTTGAAATTTTAAGGATAGCCACACGTCTCTTCAAATCAAATTCCTAAAAGGAAACAAATTTATTCAAATGGAAAATTTTTCAATTTAATCTCCAACTTTTTTTTTCTCTCTTTTTTTTTTTCCTTTGTATGTGACGAATAAAAAAAAAAAACATTTGATTGTCACAAAGGAAAAATACCAAAAGAACGGAATAAGAAAAAAAGAAAAAAAAAAAAGGAAAAAAGTTTTCATTTGATTTTCTGGAAAAACAAATAAAAAACGATGACGACGACGACGACGAAAAGAAACAAAAAACAAAAAAAAAAAGAAGAGAAAATTAAAATTTGAATCATGATAATGATGATAATGATAATGATGATGATGATGATGATGATGATGATGATGATGATGATGATAATGATAGCAAACATTAATTGAAAATTTAACGAGTTGAAAAGGAAAATTTATGTGAAAAAGAAAATAAAAGAAAATTTTTTTTTCTTTTTACTTTTTTTCCTTTTTTTCCTTTTTCTCTGAAAAGGATAATAGAAAGAGTTATAATTTAAAAAGAAAAAAAAGGAAAAAAGGAAAGAAAAAAAAAAGAATGATGATGATGAGGAAGGGGATACGGGGTAGGTGGAGGGAGGAATTTACCCTTACCTCTATCCTCATTAAATCTTTGCTCCATTAAAGTAATTTGTAATTAACTTAAGAAAATGTTTTTTTTTTTTTTTTTTTTTTTTTTATAGGAAAATACGAAGAAAATACTAATAATAATAATAATAATAATAATAAAAGTATGAAAGATAGAGAGAGAGAGAGAGAGAGAGAGAGAGAGAGGTTTCTTTTTTTTAATATTATTATTATATAATCACTACCGATTATTATTAAAATAAAAAAAAAAAAACCACCACCATTGGAAAGAAAATTTTTTTTCATTATTATTATTATTATTATTATTATAAATATCCCTTTTTAAATTTTTGTTACAAAATCTAATTTTCGGGTTGTAAAAATTTTCCTTTTTTTAATTATTTAAATAATTCGTTTAAACGATTCATTTCTCACATCTTTTGTTATTAACAATTTTATTATTATTATTATTATTAAATACAATTCACTTTATATGTAATACATAAAAAAAAAAAAAAAAAAGTTATTTTAATTTTATTTTATATCTTCTGCTACTGTTTAATAATATTGTCAAACGGATTGATTTATTAATGTTTAATAAAAAAAAAAAAAAAAGGAAAAACTAAACATTGGGGAACATATTCGTGCATTTAAAAAAAAAAAAAGTCATAGAGTAATCGAACGTTTTACTCATGAAAATTTAGATACGTTGTTTAAAATTAAACGACCGAACGATCAACCAATCAGAAAATTTTATTTAAATAATTCAAATGTGACGTCATAAGTCAATTCAAAATAATTTTTTCCTTTTAATACGGAGGCTTTGTTTGTCATTTGTAAACAATTAATTACCACATGTTTAAAACGCGACGATATAAACAATAACACACATAAAATTATATATGTATATTTTTTTTTATTTATTAAAAAATGAGAGAGAATGTTAGAAAATTATGTATGAACAAAATTATACAGTTATTAAATATCGTATACTAAATCCATCAGATATTAAATTTAATAAATTTTATTAATATTAAATAAAAAATAACTATATGGTATTTACCCTATTATTATTATTATTAATAACGTTTTAATAATTTTTTTTTTGTATTTATTTGTTTAGTGTTAATCCAACATGTTTGTTTATATTGTTGTTGTTGTTTTGATTGTCGTTGTTTTAGATGAGTGAAAATAATGTAAAAACGTCAGATATCGCCGACACGGTTGTTCGTCAACAATCAGATATGTATAAAGTCGATTTGAACAATTTGAACCTATCGGAAAATTATGAAATAAATCAAATATTTTCCGGTAACAACGTAACAGTTTACGCACTTTTAGAATCATCAGATGAAATAAATGGTGACAATTTAAAAAAAATATTAAAAAATATTGATACAAATATTAAATCCGACGTTAATTTCATACAATCGAACATAACGGAATCATCGCCTACAAATAATAATAATAATAATAATAATAATATAAGTGAAATTAAAAAAGAAGAAGAAGAAAAAATAATTAACGATGATATTATTGATAGGAAAAATAGTTATTTTTGTTTTACAGGCTCTGACGTTATGGAAAATGATAACGAAAACGTTGGAAAAGATATGAAAGTTTTATTTTTTAAAGATCCGACGAATAAAATTAATAATTGCGACGTGGAAATGTCGAATTCGTCGAAAGGCGTCAACACGGATATAGCACTGAGTCCGAAACTTATTGAAAAAGTACAAAACGTTTTAAGTTTGAACATATTATCGAGTTCTTCATCGAAAATCCCAGGTTCTACGGATTCCGAACCTATAACGAGCGTGTCGAGTATTAATTCCGCCTTGTACGATACAAAAGACGTGTCAAACGTTTTACTAGTGCCACTTTTCATGATGAACGAAAAACCGTTAAATAATCACAAAAGGAAAATGGATTCCGAGATGATTAATAATGATAAATCTTCGTACAATGGAATATGTAACGAATGTAATGAAAAAATTATAATAAATGGCGTTAATACAAATTATTTATGTTTAAACGAATACGATTGTAAAAAAGAAATAAGTAATTTTTATTTAATAACAAACAAACAAATTATTATTATTATCAATTTAATTTATTCCGTATTGTTTTTATATATTTTATTTAATTTTTAGATTGTAATCACACGACGACAAACGTTTCAAAACTAAACGAATTAGATAATTTAAATAATTTAAATAATAATAATAATAAAGAAAATGAAATATCAATGAGTAAAAATGAAATATTAACAGAAATAAAAAACATGCAAAATAAATTAAATATTATACTTCAATCATTGGAAAAATCAAATCATGGGAAAAAAGAAGACATTTTAAAATGTTTATCATCGAATGAAATTATTAAAAAAGCATCCGATACAATAAATAAAATTGAATCTTGTTTTGTTAAACCTCATGATGGTTCACGTGAAATTGTTAATATTTCAGGTACGCTACCAACCGAAGAATCAAATAAGGAGGTGGGAATTGTAAAGGATGAAGAAATGACTCGATCTTCTCATTTTGAGGAGGAAAATAATAAAATAATAAAATCATCGATAAGAGAAACGAATTTAAATATGGAGGATGAAAAATTAATAAACGATATGAATTTAATACCTGAAAAAAATCATTTGCAGTCTCATAAAAGCGATTCAACGCTTAAACTTATATCATCGAATAATAATAATAATAATAATAATCGTATATTAAAAAAATCTAAAAGTTTCGAAGGACATTTAAATAAATGTGATGTTAACAATAATAATAATAATAATAATAATAATAGTAAAAAAATAAAAGCTTTGTTTTATAAATTAAGTACCCATGCAAAATTTATAAGCAAAACAATTTTATCAATGAATAATTTATTGGAAGATTTAACACCAAAAAAAAAAAACAATGTGGATGATGTGGATATGACAAAAATATCCGAACCTGTTTCAGGTGTTGTGACAAACCTTAATGTGGTAGAATGCAAAGAAATAAAATCGAATGCTCATCTATGTAAAAGTAATGATTCGGATTCTAAAATAAATAATACAAATGATAAAATAATTGAAAATAATAATAATAATAAAATTGAAAGCGATAAAAAAATTATAGAATCGGAAAAATTATTAAATAGAACGATGGAAAATACAAATGATAAACAAAAATTAAAAAATGATAAAGTCGTGAGTGAAAAAGTACAAAAATTCGGTATGATAAAAAGTAAAAAAGTTGATTTAAAAAGGGAAAAATCATTTTGTGGTAGTAATAATGTCGAGACTCCAAATAAAACATTTACAAATTTAAAAAAAGTTAAAAGAAAATTACCGGTTAATAAATATGATAAGAAAAAATTATGTGATAATTGTAGTAGTGGTGGTGGTGGTGGTGGTGGTTATAATAATTCAACGGATAAAAAAAAACAACGTGAATTTAAATATAATAATAATTATTCCGATAAAAAAAAAAAAAATGATTTCGAATCGACTTTATTAAGTAGAAAAAAAATTATTCAAAATTCTAAAACTACTGTTTCTAGAACAAGTTCAATGTCATCTTTGGAAAAGATACTTAAAAAAAAACCAAGCGGTCACGTATTTATTTTCGATAAGAAAAAAGAAACTATTTTTATAGCTAAAAATTCATCGACGATCGATTCGGAAATTGAAATTAAATCATCTCCCGTTGTCGTTGAACTTTTTTCTAAAAAACCGCCATCTTTGTATACGATGAATCAAAGTTCCAGCCAAGAATCTACATTGCAAAATCTCATGGAAAAATCATTTCGTTTAAAAGATGCTAATAATACGATAAATACGGATGCTGCTGCTATTAGTCAAAATGATTTTTCCGATAAATCCATTGTCAAATCCGTTTGGGCTTTAACAAAAGTTTTATTATATAAAGACGGTTCGAAAAAGTTAGAAATATTAGAAGCATCCGTCACTCCTCCCGAATCCGCTTTATTCGATAAAAAAATAAAACAAAATAACGTATAATTAATATTTAAAAATAATTCAATTTTTAAATGAAAATAATTATAATTTAAATGTAAATTTATTTTCTATTTTTTTTTGTTAAATTTTATTTTTTATAAATATGTTTTTTTATTAAACTTTTTGTTTTTTAGAATACTCTAAGAAATTTTTCGGGGCCTTATGGTTTGGGTTCGTATAACGAACCAGCCACGCCATTTTTAGTCTCCATTATAGTTTAATTACAAAATTTTCATATTCACTGCATTTAATTTTACAAAAAATGATGTCATTGGGTCCTAAAAAGGACGGCGGACCAAACATAAAGTTTTTCGAATCACCTGAAACTTTGTCATTATTCGACGGTATTAAATCTTGGCTGCAAAAAAATTGCAAAAAGGTAAGTTTGAGTATTATTCTTTTAAAAAAAAATGCCGGCGTCATTTTTAAATTTCGACAATACCTACAATGCGACCGAACCGATGTAAACAAACACAAAATAATAATTAATTATTTATTTTAACGTTATTATTAATTTGAATTTATTTTTTTTTTCAAATTCGTTAATTTAATTCTAATATTATTTTTTAAAATAATTAGACAGATTGATTAATTACTTTAATATAATTAATTTTCCCGCCCGCTCCCTCTACACCCATGTAAATATTTAGATTATTCTCATTGAAATATGTCAAAATTCTATCATTCTCCTAAAATTTAGATAAAATTGTTAATTTTTATATAATAAAGTTATTTATACGACGAAAATACAATTTTTTTTTTTGCCTAAAGCTTTATTTATGTTTACTTGAATCCAATTATTTATTATCATTCTTTATGGTAATAGATCATAATACAAATAATTTTTTTTTTTTCTTTATATTAACAAATTAAAGCAATTAGTAACTCTAGTTAGTAGATTTTTTTAAAATGCGTTTTAATTTTTTAAATATGAATAAATAAATGTTTTTTTAGTATGTGCAAGCTGATCCTCCAACAGCTAAAAGCTTATCAACTTTGGTTATTCAATTAATTCAATTTCAAGAAGATAATTTTGGTAAAAATGTCAGTAAACCACCTCTCACTCGATTACCCGTAAGTTATTCATTATTATTTATTTCAAATCGATTGTTATTATTTTTTTACCATGTCTAAGAATTTATCATTTGTTTTTTTTTTTTAGATGAAATGTTTTTTAGATATGAAACCAGGTGGTGCTTTATGTCATATATTAGCAACAGTTTTTCGTTTTAAATCGGAGCAGGGGTGGAGAAGATTCGATTTCCAGGTTAGTAAGGTAGGAAAACGCCATCTAATTATTTGTATGGCTTGCTGTGAGATTTCCAATAAATGGTGATGGTTTCTTCAGTTCAGATGCATTTTGATGAGTAATGTATTGTTATTGCTATTTAAATTTTATTTAAGTATTAGTATATATATTAGAGCTTGTTATTTTCTAATTGTTAATGATTAAATTATGTAAAAAGTAAGTTTTATAGCTTTAAAAATTTTAATTTTCAATAAGTTTTTTTTTTATGAAACTTGTTTAACTTTTTGGTTTTTAGAAAAATGTATTTATTTAGTCGTCTTATAAATTAATTTACTATTGCATTTACTTATTTCTTTTATGTAGATTTTAGTCGAGTATTTTTCTGTAGTAAACAAAAGGGTTTTAGTTTAGTATTTTTACATCTCTATTTAGTTTTTTTTTTTTTTATCTAAGTAATGTTGTATGTTTGAATTTATTTTTCAAAATTATATTTCATTATTGAAATTAATTTTTCTATCAAATTCAATGCTATAATATTCATATATTAATATTCATTTAATTGGTAATTTTATTATTGCATGAATACTTATATGTTTACATTGTAATCGGCTTTGATTTCTTTCAGTCTCCCTCTCGAATGGATAGAAATGTAGAAATGTTTATGCAAGTTGAAAAAGCTTTAATTCAAGCTAAATGCCTAACAATGCCAAATGTATTTATAAAGGCAGATGTTGAAAAAGGTTTACAATCGAAAATCAAAGATATTATTAAACGCCATCAAGGAACCGTAACCGGTAATTCATTTTCAAAAAAATATATATGTGTGAGATTGTATATGTAAATAATATATAATTGCTTACCTTTATTTTTATCGTTCAGATAATGAAGAGGAAGCTACTCATATTATATATCCACCATGCGATCCTTTGGATGAAGAGTTTGCCAGACCATCTATGAAAAGAGACAAAAATGTTTTAGTACATTGGTATTATTTTCCCGATTCACATGACAGTTGGATTCAAGCTGACCTTCCGATAGATCCTCCTGATTCACCTCCTGTTCATGTTGGACCTTGGAGGGTCGCTGCAACTTGGGTTTTAGAATTAGAACAATACAATGAATGGATGACAGAGGAAGATTATGAAGTGGATGAAACAGGAAAGAAAAAAGTTCATAAGCTAAGGTTATCTGTTGATGATTTAATGGCTTCCTCAGATCCGAGCTCGAGGAAAAAACCGAATAAAAGAAAAAAATCACCTTCACCTCCACCGAAATCGGTGAGTAAAAGGAAAAGTACTCGAGGACCTCCCACGCCTGCAGTTAATAATAAAAAACATAGAGGGGAGGAAGAAAGTGAAGATTTAACCAAAGATATGGAAGATCCTCCTTCTGACACTAACATTCAAGAAGTAAATTGTACTAAACCCGGCACATCAAAAAAAGATAGTGATTTACAACCGATTAAAGGAGGAACGATGACGGATTTGGAAGAGGGAGACATGGATAAAGTTGACGAAAGCAGTCAAAACACAAAAACTTCCGATTCTAATTTCATAGAGAAAGAAAAAGAAAAAGACAAAGAGTCGAAACAGGAAGATAATGTCACGGAACAAACTCATCATATAATCATTCCTTCATATTCGGCTTGGTTCGATTACAGTTCGATTCACATAATTGAAAAAAGAGCTCTACCTGAATTTTTCAATTCGAAAAATAAAAGCAAAACTCCGGAAATATACATTTCCTACAGGAATTTCATGATTGATACCTATAGATTAAATCCAACGGAATATTTAACGAGTACGGCATGCAGACGAAATTTAGCTGGCGACGTGTGCGCCATAATGAGGGTTCACGCTTTTCTAGAACAGTGGGGTCTAATTAATTATCAAGTGGATACAGACAGCAGACCGACTCCCATCGGTCCTCCGCCCACTTCTCATTTTCACGTTTTAACTGACACTCCATCAGGTTTACAACCTGTCAATCCGGTAAAAACTCCTCAACCGTCTGCAGCTAAAATGCTTTTAGATATGGACAAGAAAGACAAAGAAAAAGATATAAAAAAAGAACCTTTGGACATCGGATCAAATTTCGGACTGAAAATCGATCAGTACGCGAGAAAACCAGCAGCGTTGAAAAATAAAGCTGCTGCTGGTATTACCCGTGATTGGACTGATCAAGAAACTTTACTATTATTAGAAGCTTTAGAGTTGTATAAAGATGATTGGAATAAGGTTTGTGAACATGTAGGAACTAGAACGCAAGATGAATGCATTTTACATTTCTTAAGGCTGCCAATTGAGGACCCGTACCTAGAGGATCCCGATGCAGGTACGATAATTAATTTCAATTAAAAATTTAAAGAAGGGAAATAACTAGACAAAGTAATTCGGTTTTGTATATCATAGAAGGTGGAGCTTTAGGACCGTTGGCGTATCAACCCATACCTTTCAGTAAGGCTGGTAATCCGGTGATGTCAACCGTTGCTTTTCTTGCCTCCGTCGTTGATCCACGGGTAGCCGCATCAGCTGCAAGAGCCGCCATGGAAGAATTTGCAAGTATAAAAGATGAAGTTCCAGCGGCTTTATTAGATGCTCACATTAAAAACGTGGAAGCTTCAACTACGGACGGTCAGTATAATTTCACCCTATTTAAAAGAAAAAAAAAAAAAAAGAACCGTTAATAAAATTTTTTTTGTGTGCGAACAGGTAAATTTGATCCTTCGGCAGGACTGGCTCAAAGTGGAATAGCCGGAACGAGTCAAGAAAAAGAAGAAGAAGAAAAGGAGAAAAAAGATGAAGAGAAACCGGATGGAGGTAAAAAACCGGAAAAACAAGAACCGATGGATGTCGATTCGGATGTCAAGACGGAAGAAAATGAGAAAAAGGAGGCAAATTCCCCGGATACCTCGGCTTCGGTTCCTACTTCCGATGGAGACGGTGCTGCTCAACCGGAAACTAAAAACGGAGGTCCTCCCTATTCTTTCCTTTTTCTTTTTGTTTTCTTTTCCAAGTTAGTTTTTTATTTAACGGATTTTTATTTTAATAGACGCCGAAGGGAAAACGGAATCTGCCACACCGGAAACGGAACAAGATCGTGTGGTTAAAGATGCACAATTGCAAACTGCGGCTGCAGCTGCGTTGGCATCAGCCGCGGTTAAAGCAAAACATTTGGCAGCAGTAGAAGAAAGAAAAATCAAATCTCTAGTAGCTCTCCTTGTCGAAACTCAAATGAAAAAATTAGAAATAAAACTTCGACATTTCGAAGAATTAGAAACGACGATGGAAAGGTAAAATAATTTTATCGGGATAACCTAAAAAAAAAACCTGGAAAATAAAATAAAAAATTTTTTTTTTTTAATAGGGAAAGGGAAGGTTTAGAATATCAAAGGCAAACGCTAATAGCAGAACGTCAACAATTTCATTTAGAACAATTAAAAGCAGCCGAATTTCGGGCCAGGCAACAAGCACATCAAAGGTTAGCCGTAGAACAAGGGGGTCAATGGCCACCACCCAATTTGGCTCCCACGAATCAAGTCGGTTAAAAAAAACAAAATTAAATTGTACAAAATTTATGGGGATTTTTTTATTATAATTTAAAAGGGGAAAGAAAGAAAGAAGAGGAAAAGAAGTGTATGATGACTTCAGAAAATGATGACGTGTATTTGTGATCAAGTACCCCCTTTTTTTTTTTTTTTTTTTTTTGTTTCCGCCATTTTTTTTCAATCAATCAAAAGGTTTATAGGTTTCACAGTATAAATTTAAACATAATCAAAGGAAAAAAAAAAAAAAACAAAACAAAACAAAAGTTCTCAAAGGAAAATTATTAATATTTAAAAAGAGATAGAGATAGAAAGTAAGAGAGAGAGAGAGAGAAACATATTAAAAAATTTATTTGTATTTATTTTATTATTTTATTTTTTTTTTTTTTACTTATGATAAATTTTACAAAAAACATTTTAAATCAATTTCCGGATAAGAATCGAAAAAAGACAATAATAATAATAATAATGATAATAGTTATGTTAAAAAAAAAAAAAAGTAGTGGTGGTGACTGATTCCCAGTATATATAGAAATAAATAATATTTATCAGTGAAGTGGAAAAAAATTAAAATAATAATGTTAATCATTTAATAAGTAAGGTACAACAAAACATTATGTATTTATATATATTAATATTAAAATATATGATGACAAAAGAAAATTAAAATTGATGACGTCATTGGAAAATTATTCCCTTTATTAATAAATCAATCCTGAGTTGTAAAAAAAAACGATAAAAAAGAAAATTTTTGTTTCCCGGAAGGTTAAAAAAAGAAGAAGAAAATTTTGTTTTCCAGACGGTTAAAAGAAAAAGAAGACATTTTTGTTTTCCAGAAGGTTAAAAGAAGAAGAAGAAGAAATTTTTGTTTTCCAGAAGGTTAAAAGAAAAAGAAGACATTTTTATTTTCCAGAAGGTTAAAAGAAGAAGAAGAAGACATTTTTGTTTTCCTGAAGGTTAAAAAAAGAAGAAGACATTTTTGTTTTCCAGAAGATTAAAAGAAGAAGAAGACATTTTTGTTTTCCAGGAGGTTAAAAGAAGAAGAAGAAGAAGAAATTTTTGTTTTCCCAGAAAGTTAAAATAAGAAGAAAATTTTTTAATTTTACATAACGATAAACAAAAAGGAAAAAAAAAAAGAATAAATAAATTAATGTTATATGTTAATTATTATTATTATTATTATTATTAATTAAACAACAATTGACGTTCTGTTAGATTTGATTTTAGGATTATATTGTTCGAGTTCGTTTGGCGGACATTTTAATAATTTATAATCGATTGGAAAGAAATTTTTATCATTTAAATTCGGTATTGGACCGAAAATAAATTGTCCAGGACCGTTTGGATATTGTGCAAAAAGAAAATTAGCAAAACAAAGACGATACACGTGGTAAGTCAAATCGAATTCGTTATTCTGTAAATTAAAAAAGCAATTATTATTATTATTATTATTATTATTATTATTAAAAAGGAAAAGTTTAGTATTGTGAATCATTTTCATACCGACGTCATAGTTTTATAAGCTTCATCGACAAATGAATTGATTTGCGTCGAGGGTAATGATAGAAGAGAAGAAAAAAAGGAAATCAATTCTTGTTTTGTTATTATTCCATTTCCGGTACGATTAATGACGTTAAATAATATTTTGGGAAAATATTGAAGCCAAATGGGTAAATCGTTAAAATTTTGACTTTTACCTAAAACTCCAGTCCATTTATCAAACCATTGATCTATTGATAATTGTTCTTTTCTTATTTTTTTTTCTATAACATCTGCCGCCATCATGGATCGATTGATCGATTGGAAAAAGAAAAAAAAAAAAATTAATTAATAATTGTCCAGGTGATCGTGGGACGTGATAACACTGGAGGAGAGTAAAACATGATTTACCGTATGAATGTACATAATTATCTTGTCCAGGAGGAAATAGAAAAACTTGTACAAAACCTTTTTGTACTTCTTTTAATCTGTGATATTCCGTTGAATTTTTCGACCAATCGGAAAAATGGCGGAGGCGCTGGAAAAAAAAAAGCAAAAAAAAAAATTCATTTTTTATCACGCATATTTCAAATTGAAGATTTAGTTTTTTATAAATTTTACTTCGGCAAAACCATCGAAATCCGTTAAACTTATAAAATCATCTCTATCCAAATCCAAATAAGAAACAAAAAAATAATTTAATTTTATCTTTTGTAAATCCGTTAATTCGTAATTATAATTTATTTCTTCTTCACCGCTCGAACTTCTTTTAACCCATGCACCTGCGTAAAGAAAACAAAATAAATAATTTTTATAAATAAAATTAAAATAAATAAATAATTAAATAAATAAATAATAACTCCAAACGTGTTCGCTCCAATTTGTCGTATTATTATTATTATTATTAGTTCGAGAATTCGTTTCGTTCGATTGCGGGCAAGATATTATTATATCCGTCGTTGTTTGATTTGTATCCGGTATCGTCCTCCATTTTTTTAATAATTCTTTCGTACGATCTTTTGTTCTATCGCATGCTTGTTTCCAATTATTAATAAATTTTTTAGGTACTTTCGGTGACGGTGAATTTTGTTCCAAATTAGTATCCGTTTCTTTAAAACTCACGGAACTTTGTCTTCTGCTTTCTTCCGCCGTCGGCGCTGTCGTCGTCCCTGACGTCATCGAATCAAAATCCATTTTTCTAAAAATAACGATTATTTATTAAATTTAAATTCATTTTAACGATTTATTATTTAATCTTTTTCTATTTAAAACGTTTTTTTTCTTTTTTTTATTAACGATTCGTCGTTTTTATTAAAAGTAAAAACATTTAAATAATATCGATTTTATATTACGTCACTTCCGTTTTCTCTTCCTCTTACGTCATCAACGTTTAAATAAATATATCATTTTTTGGCAGAAATTTTTGTTTAGCAACGAAAATTAGGTCGTGATAATAAAATTGTATACGAATTTATATTAAAATAATAATAATAATATTATTACTTACCAAATGATGGAAAAAATTACTGGAATCGTTTGTAATTTTCCTTTTATTCAAAAATAAAACATTCCAGCGCTCCAGCAGGCGATGTTAAAAACTCAATTAAACTCACAGCAGGAGGAGCGTATATATATATATATATAGATTTTCTTTTAACCTTTTTTTATTATTTTACCCTTCTCACTCTACCCTACGCTACCCCTTTATCCCTTTTCCCTCTCTCTCACTCTCTCTTTTCCTACATTTTCTTTTCTTTCCGGAAACGAATAGAAAAAAAAAAAGAAAAACTTGACCTTAACGTTTTTTTTTATTTGTCGTTAATGTTTACCTTATGGTAATTTATTATATATTTGTCGATCGATTAAAAAAATTTTCTTTTTTTTTTTTTATTTTCCCACGCTTAAAACTTTTCCATGCGTGGAGGAGGGGGGGGGGGAAATGTCATTATTATTTAACGATTTTAAATTTTCCTAACATTACTACTATTATTATTATTATTCATTTATAAAAATAAAAAAAAAAACAAATATGTCGGATGTGTTCTTATGGATTTTCGATAAAAACCAATTTTTTTTTTTTATTATTATTATTTTCCCAATAAATTTCCCCCCCCCCCCGACCGGTTTTTTATCGAAGAAAACGTTCAAAACTTATCAATAAATAATAATAATTATAATAATAATAATAACTTTATATTTTCAACGGGAAAAAAAAATTATAACGAAAAAAATTGAAATTAATTCCGATATCGATCATTCGTATCATTTAAAATTAATTAATTTTTTTTATCGATAATAATAATAATATTAATCGACGTTATAAACGAATAAAACAAAACAAAAAATTATAATTTAAATTTATTATAATTACAATAATAATAATAATAATACGATAATATAATAAATCACGAGCATTTAAAAAAAAAAAAAAAAAAAAATTTTAATTTATTTTTATCACACGTGACGTCCAATTAATTAATTTTTATTCAAAAATTTAATTATTATTATTATTTACGTCCAAATTCAATTTTTCCCAAAATAACTCAATGACCTTAATTCCCTACTTCTTAAGTACATAAATTTTATTTTTTCTTTCTTAAATAATAATAATAATAATAATGTTTTGAGTATTTTTGTCGCCTTTTTCGTCTTTTCCTCTCTTTTTATTCGTAAAACAATAAATAAATTCTTTGTTTGTTTAAAAAAAAAATTATCACAGTTGATTATAATAATAATAATTATTATTATTATTACACAAGAGATATTTCGTCATGGGAAAACAGAAAACGTTTTTCTTTCATTTATTAAACGACGCAATAACAAAATTTTCTCAAATGATGAAGTATGTTGGCTTTTTCAATACATTGCGTCATTTGTTTATATTTATTTATTCTACTTATGTCTTTTTCCTTTGAGCAAAAGAAAAAAAAATTATTATTATTATTATTATTATTATACAAAATACAACAACAACAAAAACAAAGGAAAATTTTATTGAGACTTACGGATGTTGTAAATATTTTCGTTTTCGTGTGATAATTAATACTCGCTTCGAATATCATATCGCCAGGATTAAACGATGCTTTCAATTGATATATTTCATTCAATATGTCCGTTTTATCCGTCATTTTACCAACGAAACCATCGTAATCGGAATTTTCTTTAAATTTTAACATGTGTTTATTAGGTATTAATTTGGCACTCCATATTATCTTGTGAAGGCGTACTTTGGCGCATAAATTACGATGATTGGCAGTTAGGCTATAAAACAGTTAAGAAAATTTTACCGTTAAAACCTTTTTTTAATGATAATAATAATAAAAAAATGGCGAATTTTTTTTTAATAAAACCTATTGAGATAATTTTTTAAATATTGTGCGGCTTGTTTTACGATAATATTTTGAGCCGCGAGTGGCGTCCATTCTAAACAAGAACACCAATGCGGTTCGATTCCAGCATCTAAACAAGTTCTCGAACCTGGTACCTAAAAATAAATTTCCAAAAATTAAAAAAAAACAAACTCGATTCCTTAAAAAGAAAAAATAAAAGGGTAACAAATTAAACCTCTTTGAATAAACTTATTCCTCTATTTATTAAATTTCCTTTTCCGCTTCCGCGAAAGTGCAAAACGTCCTTTAGTGTTTCGTGTATGTCGAATGGAGTCGTTAATTTATTGGCATTATTTAAAAAATTCGCATAACCTTCGGGATATTTTTTTTCAAACCATGGAGGAAAAACAAATATGAAACCTGGAAGTCTTTCTTCTTGTTTACCCTGCTGCGTGTTTCTCACTTCGGCAAACCTTTTTTTTTTTTTTTTTTTAATACAAATCAATAATTATTTTATTATTATAAAATGTCACGCACACGCACACGCCCACACACACTCACCTAGAACCGTGATCGCTCATTAATATCAATAATGTATTATTAAAATATCCTTTTTTATTGAATCCCTTAAGCCAATTATATGTATCGTCGTCGGCGTTGACGACCCAATTATTCGAATCGTGACTGTATTCGGAATGAAATGCAAAAACGAATTTCGGTTTATCTCTGTACACTTCATACATATTATTCATAAAATCTAACATTATCTGCAAAAGAAAATAATTTTTAAAAATAAAAAATGGACGCCATATCACAAAACTAATTTTATTGGCAAATCTAACATTGAATCGTGACATTCCTCCGTAGCAAAATTTTTCTTCTCTATCGAATTTAGGCGAGGCTTCTATGTAAAACGTTCTCATGTAATGATCAACAGGCTGTTCCTGAAAATTTTTTTATTTTTAATTAATTATTTTTAAAAAAAACCAACAAAAAAAAATTTACAAAACTTACTTTGAAACCTTTTAATCTATACGTAAACGTTCCCACGTTAACCATATCTTCGCTCCATGCCGTAACGTATCCATTTTTTTTATAATCGTTCCAGATGAAAGGATACACATTAACGTATTCCGCGTACGAACCTTTTCTTTTTCTCGTGTCCGGTAATTCTAAAATAAAAATAAATCACAAATCCAAAAATGAATGAATGAATGAATGAATGAAAATGATTTTCGTACCCAATTCGGTTCTTCCCGTCAGAATAGGTATTAGAGCCTGTGGTGTACCATCACCAACGATATTGTAACCATTTAGGGGAATCCCTTTCATATTTTCCGTGGCATATTTATAAGTTTTTGGAAGTTGTCTTTTCCACATGTTATGCGATAATGAATCGAATCCGAAAATCAAAACGTTTAAACGTAGAGAATCATCTGGAATTTTAGACCAACCGCTTCTATCGAATATCGTTTGATCCGAACGTATACCCGTCAATACTTTTTTCCATCTAAAACAATTTAAAAAAATATTATTTTCCATTCCAAAAAAAAACACGGATGGGTTAAGTTAATAACTTGTTTACATAACTTATATATTATTACAATTAGAAAAAAAATAATAATAATAAAATTTGTTAGTTTGTTATAAGCAAAGGTAAAAAACCATGCCGAATAAAAAACTTTAACCCAAAGCTCGAAAACCACTCGTTAGAAAAAATTAAAAACTAAAACTAAATGTTTTGAAAAAAACAAACACCAATGAATAGTGAGAGTGAATTTTAATATAAAACTTTTGAATACCATTCATGATGATTAAAAAAATGTCTTCTTTTCCTAATTTTACCATTCCAATTTTCATATTCTATAAAATATTAAATAATAAATTGAATAGAAAAAAACAATCATACGTAAATCATAAATATTTGAAAAATTTTTATAAATCCTTAATTAATTAAAACAATAAATAAATAAATTTAATATTAAAATTTATTAAAATACTTACTGTACATTTTCAGACATGCAAAAAACTTGTACAACATCACTATTTTCTAAATTATATTCTGTGCTACTCGATGTCGTCATTCCCTGATGTTGAACATGATCGGTTTCTCTTATGATATCGGTGAAAGAACATTTAATAAAACCGTATTTCTAAAAAAAAAAAAATTGATGCACTGTTGTTTAATACAATAAGGTATTATTTGATTTATAAATATGTATTATAAAAATAACAGATAAAAAAACATTTTTTTTTTAATAAATTTCTCTCACTATTTTGGCCCATTCTGATATTTTTAATATGCTTCCATGAACTTCGACCCAATCTTTTGTTTTATTGCAAATGACTTTAGGAACTGGTTGAATAAGATCCAAAATTTCTTTTGCATTTACATCTAAAATAGGAACTCTGCATGCTAAACCCTCATGGCTGGAAAAAAAAATTGAAAATCGTTATCAATTTATAAAATTTACGCGAAGGATTACATACATGTAATAAATTTTAAATGATTTAAAATAAAAAAGAAATATGTGGGTAAAAATTTACAGGAATGGGTGGAGGAATGATTCCAAGGTAAAATTTTCTTATGTAAAAAACAAAAATGTATTATTATATTTACATAATACATACGCCAAGTTTTTATTTTCGGATTTTATGTACTGATTAATTCGGTTAAGTAATTCTTCTCTGTCATTCTTGGGCGGTTCATTCATCATTTTAACCGTTACAAAAAATAAACAGAAAAAAGGAACAATGCATATAACTAATAATGTAATAAACGTTACAGCTCTGATTCTAAATATTTTTCTTGCCATATTGAAAAAAAAAAATTTTTCAATCGTTTAATTTCAAATCGAAACCATAAATTTTTCTTTTTTTTTTTTAAAATCGCATTCAAAAATAAAATAATAATTTCACGGATCGCTTGCGCGCCTTTTAAACATTTAAGTACACGATAATATAAACGTTACAAAGTTTGTAAATTTAATCATTATTATTAATTACATTATTATTATTAAATAAATTCGAATAAGTTAATAATTGAATAAAATTTTAACTTGAATAATAAATAAATTTTTATTTTAAAATAAAAAAATTTTTAATGACAGACAGACACTCGAATCCGCCTCTTTTAGCAGACGATAATTTTATAGTATTAAAATTTTTCAGGGCCCTTCTACATGTGCTTATTACTTTATTTTTCGGAGGGAAAATTTTCCCTTTCTTTTTAAAATTTTGAAAAGTGTTCTTTTTAACCGTTAATTTAGTCCGTTTATTTAGCTTCAGTGAATTACAATCAGTTTTTTTAAACGTAAGATATTTAATCATCAATTGGATAAAACTTGCCATTTTTAAATTTATTATAAAAGGTGGTTAAAATTAATTATAAAATATATATATAAATTAATTATTTAATATAACATTAATAATGACATGATTTTTTCGGAGAGAAATTTATTTAACAATATTACACGTATTTTAATACAGATTAATCTTTTTCGTTATTGTTTTTCTACACATGGGGCACACTTTTAACGTTAAAGAACATTCTTCGCACGTGCGATGACCGCAAAGAAAAGCAACGTTTCTATTTCTTTCCATACAAATCGTACAATCGAGAGATTCTTCGATTTCTTGTATTTTTGTTTCCAGGTAACGAAGCCTATCGGCACTGGGTTGCCTAGATTTGCATGGTATTATTTTACCATCGACGGATATCCTTTTCGAAATGAGACAACCGCATTTCAAACACTTTTTCACACGACTCGCACAATCTTCGCATGCAATTTTATGGCCGCAAGGTTCGAACAAAACGTTTTGATCGGCTATTTCCGAACAGACTGAACATTCAACGGGTGAGTAGTGATTTTCATTTTTATTACTTTGTTCGTTTGATGATTCTTCCGATGAATTTCGGGTCGATGAATTCAAGATGGCGGCATCCTCCCGCATTTTTTTCAAGGTAACGTAACTTTGTATTAGTACTTGCACGGATTTATCTTCCACTAAATCCAACGGCGTTTTCCCTCTCGAGTTTTGAAGAGTTAACGAACAACCTTCTAGAACTAAATAACAGGCAATGGCAATGGCAATAGAATGTTCGCTAACCAAATCGACAATTTGTGCGTGAATACCGTAAATTTTCGGGGATTCCAACTCGACAATTTCCGAATTAATGCTACCCCTTTTTAAAAGTACTAAATGTAAAGCAGTCTCTTTGTCTTCGTCGACCACGTGAATGTCGGCTTTCATCGATATTAATAATTCTACGATGGAACACCTTCCCTGTGACGCAGCTAAAAGAAGTGATGTTTGCTTTCTGTTATTTTGTAAATTAATATCCGCCTGTCCTTGAATTAATAATGTTTCAGCCACCATTTTATGACCGTTTAAACATGCCAAATGTAAAGCTGCAAATCCGTCATCTTTTTTAACATCCACAAGTTGTCTCGTCTTGGATAAAAGTTTTTCCGTGGCCACGTTATTTCCCTTTAAAGCTGCCTGATGTAAAACGTTAAAACCGCGATTGTTTTTCAATGTGAAATCCACTCCTTGATAAGAACACAAAAGATCCGTTATTTCAACATTATCTTTACCAATTGCATCATGTAATGCAGTGTCACCATAAGAATCTTGTATATTTACATTACACTTATATTGTAAAAGTTTACGGACACATTGAACGTGCTGCTTATTGACAGCTATGTGAAGTGCGGAGCAAAGGCCCCTATTTAAACTATTTATTTCCGCTCCGTGCCTCAACAATATATCCATAACTTCAGCCTGGTCGCCAAAAGCAGAATAATGCAAAGCCGTGTCACCATCTTGATCCGCGATAAGTAAATCGGCACCTGATTCAATAAGGAATTGAACAATTTCTTTATGCCCCTGATGGCAAGCAACTTGTAGGCATGTTTTACCACTGGATGTTCCATTTATTTTATCCGGAAATTTTCTAATGAAGTCTTGAACGACATCCAAGTGACCATGGGCTGCTTCTCTGACTAATTTATCCATGTTTGTTGTGTCTGCCGGTTGAACCAACTGTAAACTTGATAATAATGACGCCAAAGGATTTGTATGTTCCTCTCTTTGATTCGAGGATGATTGCATTGAGTTATTTATTTCTGTTTGAGAACCAGGAACTAAAGTTACACAAGCAGGATTTAGCGTCCAAGTCTGGGAATCGATACAAACTCTCAAATCTCCATCCCTATAAATTTTGTTTACTTTGCCGACTTTACCTAAAGATGGCTTCATGGCATCTATCCAATCTCCATGTCCTTTTTGACACTCTTTTACTTTGTTTTCATCATCTGAAAGCCTAACTATGTCACCTACAGCGAAAATATTAACTTTGGTTAAGGCAGCAGGGTGAAAGGTCCATCTATTATTACAACCCTCATATTGTACTCTAATATCTCCTTTTTCCGTAACTCTATGAACTGTTCCCACTTTTCCAATACAATGTTTTATTCTATCATTCCATCCTCCGTGACCTTTTTGCATTTGTTCTAACTTGGAAGCTTCCATAAGTACTTTGACTTTGTCCCCGACATTAAAAGTTAAATGACTAGGAGATCCTGGGGCTCTGGCGATATTTTCTTGTTTTATACCCAATATTGGTAAATGATCCTTATAATAAAAACCACCGACAGCATATTCAACATATTTTAAATCTACTTTGCCTTTATGGCCAAGTCTATAAACATTTGTACTTCCTGAAATCCAGACTACATTCGCCACGGATCTTCCAGATTCATTATCCCATCCTCTTATGTCTATAACCCTTCCCATTTTTCCTTCGCCCCCATCCTGATCGTTCCAATCCCAATCGGGACCTCTTACTACCTGAATTTGTATAAATAATTAATTAATCATTTTAGAAAATTTAAATTCTTGCATAACCAATTATAAAAAAGAAGTAAATTGTACCTTGGCTCCGACAAAAATTCCTTTTAGTTGCACCTTTACACCCATATTCCTAGGTGGCACTTGAACTCCTACTGAATTAGCAGTCTCAAATCTCTGAAACTTATGACATAAGTCATGTTTGTCCATCATGTAACATTGAGTGCACAAGTCATAATTAAAACACGTTTCACATTTCCATCGTATACCCGCCATACCGTGTTTTTTACAACCATCACAGATAATATTTGGGTGCTTGACACCCGCAGGAGCATTATCAATAACTAATAGGTCATATGCGTTTTGATATCCAATACGATAATTCGTTCGAGACCCGGAATCCCATTGGACAACAACCGTTTTATCAGGTGAAGTTATGCTTCCTGCTTTACCTATTTCCACAACCGTTCCACAATGTCCTTCTCCATCGTCTTGTAAACCCCATTTCCAATCGGGACCTCTTACAACGCGAATCCCAACTTCCAACATAATTTATTTCATTAAAATGACTAAAATAAATATGTCAACTACTTACATTAAAACAAAAAAAAAAAAAAAAAAGTTAACAAATTAAAAATTATAACTTTTTTTTTTTTTTTAAAACTTTTAAAAAATATTTTTAAATAATTTCAATTTTGTACTTAAATTGATTCCGGAATTTTTTGAATTTTTTCATAATAATGAAATTCATAGAGTTCAATTAATTATGGCAACGGACGACATATTGCTTGTAAATATTTTAATAGAGATAAAAACATTTATTTACTTTATGGATACGGTTTCAACAGGCGTTGATAAACTTTTGTCGAAGCATGTAATCGGCCTGATGAAAATGTGCTTAGAGTTACAAATGCGTTACATAAAAAAATTTCTGACATTTTTCTCTTAAATATCGGCATTCATTTTTTATATAAATGCAGGTAATTTCATTTAATTAAATATTTTCAAATTCATTTTAATTCCAACAATTTTTTTAAACATTTCCCCCCCAAAAAAAAAAAAAAACTCGAGTAACCTAATTTAAAACGAGATTATGTTTCAATACATAGAATTAATTTTTTTTTTTTTTCCAGTTTTAAAAATATTTACTGCTCCGTGTATCATTCTATTAGAATATTATCAAAATGAATTTCTGCAATAAAAGACATTTAAATGGTGATGGACCTCTTTACATTTCTGATAAACCAGGTACCGTACCAATAAATTAATTTATTAGTTGTAAAATAAAATAAGGTACATTCGCTTATATGTATTCCTCATGATTATTTGCCATTCAAACTTTTCAGAAAGCTCAGATTTTTTTTTTTTTTATTTAATCAATCAAACCGATCATGGTAAATAAAACAGGTGTATTATTACAACATTCCCCCCCTCCTCCTCCCCTATTTCAGTATAAAAATTTTTTTCTATATAATTATAGCTATCTCTCTTTAGTAATTAATTTTCAAATGAAAAATCTTTTAGTTGTTTGTAAACAAAAAAAATTAATTGTTATTCCATTGAAAAAATTCAAATTATTAAAAATATTTTAAAACAATCTTTAATTTTGCTTAATGCTCTCTAGATTAAATCATGAAACGATATTAAAAAGCATAAAACATATTATCTAGTCGAAATGACAATTGAGATAACAAAATATCACAGAATGATATAATAGGCAAAATAAAATGAATTAATTTATAATAACAGGCTTGAAAATTATTGGTTATGAAATATTATTAAATATTTAGGCTAACCTTAAATATGAAAAATGTTTTTTTATGTGAAATGTGAAATGTTTGTCCTTAGGCAAATTTTTTTTTTTTTTTTTTATTTAAAATAATCAAATAAGCGAATGTACAAAAAAAATAACTTTTGTTTTACCTCAATGCAATTATTATTTTGTTTTTACTTTCATTCAATTTAGAAAAAAAAAAACAAATGTAAAGGTCTTTTGAAAAAACATTTTTCATGGGGACCACATAAAAAATTTCTTAACTCTATTTTAAGTACAATCGCACTTGTTAAATTTTTTTAAAAATCTGATTGTATTGTTTGAGATAAGGGAAAATTATTTCCTACATAATTAAAAATGTTTTTTTTTAATGATAATAATACAAGGACAATAACCTGTGTACTTGTTTGAAAAGATGATTTAAGAAACGAGTGAAAATAATTAAAAAGACAAAAATGAGGAGGGGAAGGGGGAGGGGAAAGCACGCAATTGCACACACACACACATTAGACCAGTTTCATTTCAACTTTCAATCCTGTTAGACAAGTCTATTAATGAAAAATAAGAGAGAGAGAGAGAGAGAGAGAGGGGGGGGAGGGAGAGAGTGAGAGAGAGAGAGAGAGATGAAAACAAAAAATTAATTGATTCCCAATTTTTACAAAAAAAATATTAACTGTCTCACGCACAAAAAAGTGCGTGTCAATCATCCAACGTCGTTTTTCGCATGAAAAGAAAATGAATTTGTTTCATTCTCACACCACTGGGAAAACGTATCGGAAAATTTTTTCCCTTTTTTTTTTTTTGTTTATCGATTTAATTTTTCCTTTGTTCGAATCTATGTATTTATATTATTTACATCGTAGTCAGACTATTAATTTTTTTTTTTTGTGAATTTCGGGTTAAAGTTTTTTAGGTAAAGGTAGGAGAAGGAAAAAAAAAAAAAAAAAACATCTTTTTACGCACTCTCTCACTCGCACTCTCTCTCTCTCTCTCTCTCTCACTCACTCACACGCAAAAGCGAAATGCAAAAAAAAAAAAAAAAAAACAAAGAAAAGCTATGACGATTGCAGGAAAAAGGAAAAACCAAAAAGAAAAATAAAATAAAAGGGGGGAGGGGGAGGAGGGCGAGGGCGAGGGCAAGGGCAATCGAGGGAAAATCGTTTTTCCTTTTCGTAAAAAAATCCTTACGAGAAATAAAACGAGGCCAACGAAGCGGGCTGTTTAAAAAAAAAAAAAAAAATAAGGAAAATGGAAAATGGAAAAATTTTTTTTTTTTTTTCCCGACGACGGGAAACCTTTTGCGCAACTCACGCGACGCGTGTGTGTGTCTGTGTGTGTGTGTGTTCGTGTGTATTCAGTTATGGGAAATTTTTCTTTGGAATATTCCAAAAGAAAAAAAAAAAAGAAAATTACGTTAAATTATTATTATTATCATTTTTTTTTACGTTTTTTTCTTTGTTTTCCCCCCTCTCCCCGTTTTTTAATTTAAAAAAAATTTTTTTTGTCGGTGTCGCGTTGATCATGTCGTCGTCGTTGAATTTTTTACAATTTTTTTTGTTATCGTCCCCCCAGAGTTTAAAGAAATCGTGAAAATGTGTTGTTGTTATTATTATTATTATTATTATTACGTCATCGGTATGGGTTCGAATCCGTTGAAAATTTATCCGGAAAATATTCGAACGTGAACGTCGTCGTCGACGTCGTCACCGTCACGGGGTTATATAAGGTAAACGAAAAGTTAAGAAAAAAAATAATTTTCTGTATTTTTTTAATTTTTTTTTTTTTTTTGGGGTTCCCGGGGATGAAACGGGATAATTTAGTCGAAACGTCTTTTTTCGGGAAAGGTTCACAAAGAACGTTCGGTCGTGAATCCCCCTCCCCTTCCCCCTCTCCCATTTAACTGTATTATTATTTTTTTTTTTTTCTTTGTTTTTCCCTTTTTTTTAAAAAAAAAAAAAATAGATTTTCTGTTGATTTGTTGCTACAGCAATGTATGAGTATTATTATTATTATTATTATTATTAAGGGAAAATCGTGCGTATCCAGGATTTTTTTTTTAAGTAGCGTATCCAGGGGAAAAAAAATTTGACGGTTTTTTTTTCGAGTAACGTATTGTAGTATTTGCTGTCGTGGTTTTAATTTATTTTTAATTTTTTTTTTTTTTTTGCGCGCAAAATCACGAAATTAATCCTAATCCGGTATATTACGTAATCCCTAATTAAATTTACCGTACGGGGGGAGGGGGAGTGGGGGAGAGGGAGGGAAAAAAAAGAAAATTCGATTTGTAAATTTTTTTAACCGGCCAAAAAAAAAAAAAAAAAAAAAAGAAAAATGTCTACTATCAAACTTGTTTGCTTTCGATCGTTTGGACAAACTTGTTGATTTCGTTTATTTATTTGCGCCCGAAAGCGGAATCAACAACGTGTAAATAAATTTTCCGAGGGGAAAAGCAACAAAAAAAAATAATAATAATAATAATAATAATAATAATTTATCGTCGTTCGTCGTTTTTGAAATAATGAAAAATTATTATTATTAACTAACTAATGATTACTTCCGGTGTAGAAAATTCCGTGATTTGTGTGTGTGTGTGTCTGTGTGTTTGTACGAAAAAAACAATAGCGTTTGTTTTTCCTTTATATAATTTAAAAATGATAATAATAATAATAATAATAATAACCGTCGAGAGAAAAAAAATGTCGCGAAAAGTTAAAGAAAAACGTTTATGGCATATTATTATTATTATTATTATTCGATTTGTTGTTATCATCATCAAATTGTTTTTATGATAAAACAAACAAAATTGCAATTTGTTGATACGGATGATGATGATGATAATAATACGATATTATGTTTGTTTGTTTAAATTGATTTGTTTTTACGCGTTACTTTTTTAGTAACAATTTTTTTTTTTTTTTGGCATTTTTCAGAACTTCTTGTGATTGGAGAAGAAAAAACGGGGAAATCAATGACGGAGACCAACGTATCGAAATTAATATCGACAGACGATTCGCATAATTCACGAACTCTCACGTCGTTGAACATGATGAGAAAAAATAAAAATTTTTGCGACGTCGTTTTACACGTAGGCCTCACATATTTAAAACGAATCCCCTCACCCGTTCCCTCACCCCCACCCACCCACCCACTCTCACCTTCACCCCTCACGTTCCCACTCCCACCCCCGCAAAGAACAAATCAAAAACAAACAAATTCCAACCACTACGTGAGTGTCGTTGTTTGTTGTACAAAGGGAGAGAGTGTGTACAATGTGTCTGGTATTGGGGTTGCAGGTTGGATCGTCGGAAATACACGGTCACCGCGCCATATTGGCCTCCGCGAGCCCGTACCTATTTCAAATGTTCAGCGTCGAAGATGAAAAAAAAGGGAACAATCGGGAAAGGTCTTCCATGTCGTTTAAATTGAACGGCGGATTCGACACGAAATCCCTCAACATTCTCATAGATTATGCTTATACAGGACGGTAAGGATCATCGTCATCATCGTCGTCACGTCGTCGTCCATATTGTTTTTTTTTTATTCCGGGGGTCATCATTAATGATAATGATAATTAACGATTTGTATATTATTACGTTTCGTTCGTTCGTTCGTTCGTCTACGTGATGTTATTCCGCAAAAACAATCGACGACGACTAATTAGTCTCTCTTTCTCTCTCTCTCTCTCTCTCTCTAGTTAGTTAGTTAGTTATAAGATTTAGTGAACTTTGATACAAGAAAAAAAAAGAAGGAATTGATGACGTAAACCATCATTTCGAGTTTTTACGTTTTAAACGTCATTATTTTCCATTATTAATTATGTAACTCGTAGTCGAAACGAAAGGGAATCATTAATAATAATAATCGATCGATAGATCGATCGTTCGTTCGTTCGTTCGATTGGGGTGGGAAATGATACCACTTGGGGGGGAAATTTTTAACGATTGAATTTTTTTTTTTCCAGGTTGGAAGTTCAAGATTCGATGGTTAAAAACGTTTACTTGGCGGCGACGCAATTGAAAATGGGAAAAGTAGCAAACAAATGCGTTGAATATTTGGTAGAGAATTTAACGGTGGATAATTGCACGGATATTCGATCATTGCCGGGGATATCGAACAATAAAATAATATTGGAAAAAATAAACGGTTTCATAACGGAAAAGGTTAGACGAAAATAAAAATGAGTTTGCATGATGGTGGTGGTGGTGGTGGTCGTAGTAATAAAAAAAAAAAAAGTTTTATTGTGTTTTGTCGTTCCTGGTGTGATCGATTTGATGAAAATTTTTCTTTCTCTCTCTCTCTCTCTCAGTTTGATTCCCTCGTCAAAGCTCCGTCTTTCATATGTTTGCCATGTTTTAAAATAGAAGTTTTGAGTCAAAGTCGTCAGGAAATGGAATTGGTTAATCCGGCAGCGTTGATACGTTTGTCAATACAATGGATTCAAGGACAGCAAGATGTTAAAATGGAAAGGTTGGTGGAAAAAGTACGTATTGAAATCATCGTAAGAAGGGGGGTGGGGTAGGAGGGAGGGGGGGAAAAGAATGCATACGCGTTTGAATTCTGCTGTGATTTTATGTACATATTTCGGTTTTAGATCGAACGTGACCGAAAATCAAAAAAAAAAAAAAAAAAAAAAACTGGTTTTATCCGTGATTGATTCCGGTTTATTTTATTTATATTTGTCTGATTAATTGTTTTTTGTATTGATAACAATAGTGAAAATTCTTTTTAGACTCATTTATTGTATTTGGCCTTGGATAACACTTTACAAGATTGTTCAGAGTTGCCGAATTCGGATTTGTCAGATTCGGAAATAGTACAGGATTATAAAAAAATGTCAAAGAAACACGGTACGGGTTTGTCGACGGGTAAACATAAAAAAGTACCTCTTCAACCCGCTGGACCGAGAGTTTTGATCCTTGCCGACAGTCATCCGAAAATATTCGAACAGGATCCCGGATGGGATTTGGTGGCGTTTAGTCGGATAGGAGGTAGGGGGAGGGGGGCGGGAATTTTAAATGTCTCATCTCAATGAATTCCGCGGTGTAATTTGTTTTTTTGTCTTGTAATTTTTCAGAGCATTCATTCCTCGCATTAACTTTCATAAATAATCATTTAAGCCGTCTTTCGATATCAATGAAATTGAATCCGAGCCCTATAACCACACCGGAAATAACGAGATCCGTTTCAAATGGTCCAGACACTTATCAAATGATGGCCCATATGACTGATGTTAAATGCGCAGCCGGCTGCGCTAATTTTAACGAGACTCTTCTTGTTTGCGGTAACTTTTTTGCGCCCACTTATTTACTTATTTATCTATCTATCCCTATCAATTGTTATTATTATTTTAAAAATGTTTTGTTAATTTTTAAGGTGGTTACGATCGTGGAGAGTGTTTAAAGTCCGTTGAATCGTACGATCCGAGCACTAACGTTTGGGCCGCTTTGGCACCACTCAAAGAAGCTCGAGGACGGTTTAACATAGCCGTAGTATTAGGTAACGTGTACGCCGTGGGAGGATCGAATGGATGCACGGAACTTTCCACCGTTGAAAAATACGATCCGGAACTTCATAAGTGGACCAGAGTATCAAATTTACCCATAGCTCGCTCAAACGCCGGTAAATTCCTCCCCCCTCTCTCTCTCTCTCTGTCTCCGTCTCTCTCTCTCTTTCTCTCTGTCTCCGTCTGTCTCTCTCTATCTGTCTCTGTCTCTCCCCCTCGCCTTATATTACTAATTTTTTTTTTTTTGTAATCAGGGGTTTGCTCCTTGAACGACAAGTTATACTGCATAGGAGGTTGGAATGGAGAAATGGGAATGAAACAGTGCGAAATGTACGATCCATTGACTGACGAATGGGTAACCATATCACCATTAAAAACCGGTGAGATTCCCTCGCGGATCGGAAAACAAAATTTAAAAGTCACTTACCTTTTTATTTGTGATGAAATCATTATCATTATTTCCTTTGCAGGACGAAATCAGGCCGGCGTTTGCGCTTTCGGTAATAAATTGGTTGCCGTGGGAGGTTGCGATGCGTGGAATTGTCTTTCATCGATGGAAATATACGATCCGGTAGAAAACGAATGGGTCATGGGACCCTCGATGACCACAAACCGGAGGGGATGTGGCATAGCAGAATTTAAAGGTATAAAAACCGCACGCACTCCGTGATTACCTAAAAGAAAAAAAAATAGGAGGTTAAAAACATCAAATTGAAAATCTTTTTCGCTTACTTTCAGGTAAACTTTACGTCGTGGGAGGTTCGGACGGGACTCATTCTCTTGCTTCGACGGAAATATTCGACTACGAAGAACAAACGTGGTCTCCGGGACCAAGCATGACGACTCCGAGGGCTAACGTCGGCGTGGCAGTCATAGGTAATAGATTGTATGCCGTCGGAGGATTTTCAGGTACGTTATTATTATTATTATTATTATTCCCTTTCGGAATTCTCGCGCGTACCTATTTCCCCCCCCCTCCCCTAATTTTGTGTATTTTTCTTTTATTAAATATATATTTCAGGCAAGACGTTTTTAAACAGCATCGAATATTTGGATGAGACGACAAACGAGTGGACGACGTTTGTACCGAAACCGTTGTTGTTGTTGTTGAATATGAAAAATTCAACATTGGATGAAGATTTGGATTTTGGAAGGGACTGAAAAACTGATTCAAATTCCCTAAATATAAAATGAATCAAAAATAATAAAAAAAAAAAAAAAAAAAAAAAAATTAACGAAACATTAAAGTGGACGCAAGTATTTAAATTTTTTTTTTTTTAATTTTTTTTTCTGTTTTTTTTTTTTTTTTTTTTTTTTTTTTTTACTTCTTTCTCATCGAAGAGAGAAAAAAAGATTGGGTAAAAAAGTATTAAAGTTGCTAATAAGAAAGCATAACGAATCACTCATAAAGAAAGAAAAGAAGAAAAGAAAAGAAGAAAGAAAAGAGAAAGCAATTGAAAAGAAAAAGAAAAAGAAAAAAGAAAAATACACATATATTTTTTTAAAATTTTTTTTACGTAATAATAATAATAATAATAATAATATTAATAATGTACAAGAATTAAATACAGGATGTTTATTGTAATAATGATAATGATAATGATGATAATAGTAATAATAATAATAAAATAAAAATGATATAATCCGAATTAAAAATCAAAAGAATATATCACGAAAGTAAAAGGTTTGCTTTTTATTTAAACAATTTTTTTTTAAAATTAAATTCGATTGATTGATTAATTGATTGATTGATTAATTGATTGATTGATTGATTGATTAATTGATTGATTATTTATTTATCTATTTATTTATTGTCGATAATGAATGCATTTAAAAATTGCTTTTATTTTATTTTTTATTTTTTTATTTTTTATTATTATTATCATTTTGTTCGTTATTTGTCGCATAATATTTTCAAAATAGAGAGTTTGTTGTTTGTTTGTTCGTTTGTTCGTTTGTTTGCTTGTTTGCTTGTTTTTTTTTTGTCTTAGAGTTTGCACGCGATAGTTGATACAAACGATGAAAATTATTAATTTTAATTTTAAGCAAATTCAATTTACAAAAAGAAAAAACCGTTGCTAGGGTCAATGTATTGAATGCGATCAGATTGTAGGATTTTAATATAGATATATACATATAATTTAAAATTTTTGATTATAATAATAATAATAATGAAAAATAAAAATTGTAGATGTAATTAAGTGAATCATAGATATATAGAAATAAGTTTTTGTTATTATTATCATAGTAGAAATTTGTTATTATTATTTATTATAACGCGGCATTTTTATTTTTTGAAAAAACTAAAGGGAAAACGATGGTCGACATTTTGTGTGTGTTTGGGTATACTAGAAAAATGATTTAATTTTACCTTTTTTTTTTTTTTTTTTTCTTTATCTGGTAATCCATTCGAAATCCGATGAAAAAAACTGTTTGATAATGATAAAATATATTATCGTTTCGCGCGAGTATATAATTTAAAAAAAAAACAAATAATCACTATTTCAAATTTTGTTCCACAATCACGTATTCCGTTGTTTAAAAAAAACCGTTAAATAAAATTTTCACTTTTATGTTTTTTTTTAGTGTCGCGATTGTTTTCCGCGTATTATTTATAATTAATCTTAATTTTTGTTTTATTTTAAATCACACGAGTATTAATTTTAATCACTACCGTTTGTATTTTATCGCACTTGTCGAAAAAAAAAAACGACTGAATAAAAATCCGTGTTGTTCGTACGGAAGCCATGTTTGATTTGACGCGTTTTCGAATCGACCAATCAAAATCGAGAACGTAATAAAAAAACAAAATGTCGGACGTCGTTACGTAATAATGACGTAATAACAGTATTTATTTATTTTTCAATTTTTTTTTTATTATTTTATTTTCGAAAAAAAAAGCAAATCGTATAATATCGTTAATTATTATTATTATTATTATTATTATTATTATTATTATTATTATTATTATTAATATTAATATTATTAATTATCACAATTATATTTTTTACCCTTTCGTATATTAAATTTTATTCGAATCGAAAGTTAAAAAAAATTATATCCTCGTAAACTTGCATTTATTTTCCGTTACAAAAGAAAAAAAAGGAAAAAGAAAAGAAAAAAAGGAAATTTAATCCTTGAATTCACTTTAATTTTCGCATTGGGCTGTGAAAAACAAAAAAAAAAAAAAAGAAAAAATATTCAATTTACGAATTATTTTAAAAATTATTCGTTTGATAAACGCGAAAATTTATACAATTTTTTATTACTACTATTATTATTATTATTAATGTTCGCGTTTTAAATTTTTTATTATCATTATTATTATTATTACTATTACTACTACTACGATTACAACTATCATAATTACTACAACTATTAATTATTTACTATTATCATTATTTTATTATTTTTTAATGATGTAATGAAAAAGTAATTTTTTATAATAGTATTTATTACGATTATTATTATTATTATTATTATTATTTTATATATACATTATATAAATATATACATATTATATACATAATTATATATATTTTACACGATTATATTATATACATACATATTTGGAAGATAAAAAAATAAATAAAAAATAAATAAAACGTTAAATAAATATTTTATCGTTTGAATAATGAAAAAAAAAAAAGTAACGTTTTTATATTATAAAAGTTTAAGCGAAGGGAAAAATGCCCCCCCTCCCTACCTCCCCCTCCCCCTCTCCTATCCCTTCTTTGATAAAAATTTTTCATTCGTTAATATAAGTAAAAAAAAAAAAAAATTATTGTAAATAATAAATATTAAAATAAATTAATAAATAAATAAATTTAATTAAAAATTAAAAAAAATTTTTTTTGTTGTGGTTATCACGTTTCCAAATCCTTATCACGTAATTTTTTTTTTAAAGAGCGATGATGAATTTATTTATTTATTTATTTTTCTAAATAATTATTAAAACCATCGATCGTACAGATTCGAAATAGATTTATTATCGTAATAATAATAATAATAATAATAATCAATAATAATGAATAAAAAATTTATTTATTTTTATTTTTTTTTTTTGTGGGTTATGCGTTTTTTAAAACTTGAACGTATGGCAAAAAGTATAACTTAATTAATTAAGGCGTAAACGAATAATTAACGATAGTTTATGGAATAAATAAAAAATTTTAAAATGAAAATATTATTTGTAAAAAAAAAAAAAAAAAAGTAAATAACGGTTCTTATTAATAAATAATAATAATAATGATAATAATAATAATTTACTCGTTTAGTAAGTTTAAAATATGTTTTCAAAGAAAATAAATAATTTTAATTTCCGTTTTAATTTAATTTTTTTTTATTTACACAATTATAAATCATCATTATTAGTGTTATTAATAGAAATATTTCATTTAAATGAATAATAATTTACAAAAGAAAAAAAGGTTGAAAAGGATTTCATCTACTCAAACGTTTTAAAAAACGTAAATTGAATTGTAAAAAAAAAATTATAAAGATAGAAAATATTTTTTTTTTCAATATAATTATCGAAACTTTATATATTTTGATTCAATTACAAACTATTACAATTTTCTTTTCGAAATACTTTTACAAATAAAAATAAATTCATACTTTTTTTATTTATTTATTTAACAATGTGGGGGGGGGGAGATTTTCGTTAGGTAAAATGGCCGGATGAAAAAATCTAAAAAATTTTTTAGTTTAAAAACGACAAAATACAAAACACGATAGAATAATTAAACATTATTATCATTATTATTATTATTTTGTTTCGATAAATTTTATCAACGTAAATACAATTTCAAAATTTTATTTAACCCGTTCCTTTCTTTTAAATTTTTCCTTAGCAAAATGAACATAATAATAATAATAATAATAATTAAAAAAAGAAAAAGCTTTAGATTCTTTAGTTTTGTAAATTTTTATAAAAAAAAGTACACATAGACTCGAAATTTGAAAATTTGTTTCGCAATATTAATAATAAAAACAGGAAATTTTACAAAGTTAGAATTGAATTTTATTTTATTTTTTTTGGAAGAACTTTTTGTTTGTTGCTAAACGGATCCCAAATCCGTTAAAACTCCTTCGACTCTTGTTAAACTTCTCGAACGACATGGATGAGAATATTTAACTTGTAACAATCTCGTCATCAAATCTTTATTCGTACTTTCGAGCATTGATATTTTTTTCTGCAATATCGATATTTCCCTCGTTTTATCCCTTATGCTGTTTTCCAAACTCATCATGCTTGAAAACAAAACAAAACAAATTACAATTAATTTTTTGTTGTTGTTGACACGTGCACGTGCACGCACACGCACGTGCGTACGTACTTGACCAAGAGAGATCTTTTCTCGTCCAACGATTTCCTATAATCGTTTTCGATTTTCTTTCTCAAACCCTCCTCCCCTCTCAAAACTAATTTCTGATTCGTTAATTGAGATTGTAAACTTTGTATTTGTACTTCCAAAGCTCCCGATTCCAATTGCAACCGAGCTTTTAAATCCGAAATCTGGGAAAACAAATAAAAAACGTGAAAATTCTGTCCCCACACGCGACCATTTTTAAAATAAAACCACCCACGCTTTGTCTCTCTCTCTCTCTCTCTCTCTCTCTCTCACCTACCTGAGCTTTACGCCTTGCTTTGTGTTGTACGTGTCGCACGACGAGAGCATTGTATTTCTCTACGACTCCGTTCAATTGAGCTTTTAAATTATCAGAATCCGACTGAAGCTTTTTTATTTCTTCAAGCCTCGCCAATTCCGTTCTGGAAGCTTGTATCTGAGCATCAAGTTTAACTTGCATTCTTTCGCTGGCACCTTCGCTAAGCATTAAACTCGGCGGTGTTGAATCCGCACTTGAAAAATAAAAAAAAAAAAAAATTTTTTTTTTTTCTTTCTTTTAAAATGATTTGTTTCCCTCCTCCCCTCCCGTCCGCTTTTAGGACATTTACCCGTAACTTTGTGATCGAAGCATTTCACGATCCGTCATTGAAAATGATCTCGGTAATGATCCCGTGTTATCAAGCATGTCGTCTAATTCTTGATTGGAGGACACTTTGATTTCCGGCGGACTGTCAGCGTTCCAAGTTTTCGGGAAAGCCTTAAAAAAAAAATAATTTATTTATTATTATTATTATTATTCTTCACGTCGATTACATAATAATGACAAATAATTCACCCTTAAAGGTTCTCCTTTTTTCTTTCCCGGACCGATTCTGACGGGAGAATTCCTTCTCGGTCCATCCAGAGTATCACCGGCTGATTGTCTTCTTCTTCCCGGAGGAGGACTAGGAGATTCTCTTCTCGGCCATATCATCGACATGCTAGTTTGAATTCCACTCCCTCTACTCTCGTCGGTGACTGAAAAATACGACATTTTTTTTTTTTAATATAATCCAATTCCAATTGTTAATTTTGAATCTAGTACAGCCACGAAGAAGAAAATGGATTCGATCATAACCTGCACGAAATAAAAAAAAGTTTTTTTTTTTTAGATAACTTTATCATTCTCATGCACGACGTTCATCTCATCATGCAATTCTTAAAAGCTCAAGAAAAACATTTAATCTAAACTTATAAATAATAATAATAATAATAATAATGTATGACAAATATCGACGTGAAACTTAAAATTATTATAAAACATCGAATAAAAAAAAAAAAAAAAAAAATCACAATTTTAACAACGAATAAAACAAAAACAATAAATAATTTTTTTTTGATATCAAATCACAATCAAATATTTTATATGGAATGTAATGATAATAATAATAATAATATAAACAAATAATAATAACATAAATTTTTTTTTTTTTTTTTTTTTAACATAAGCTCACAGCTCACTAACCTATTTCTTTTAACTGTGATTCTCTTTCTTCAAGCTCAGCCAATGCTTCAGACAACTGAAGAAACATTAATATAAGTAATTAAATATTAATTATTTCTATGTTGTCATCGTTTTTTGTCGTTACAAATAAAAATTTTTTTTCTTTTTTTTTTAATATTAATAATTGTTCGAATGTTACTTAAATGCCCCCATGTCTTATTACTAAGTCACATGATTATTTTCTAAATCAAAATCTGTTTTTTTAAAAATATTAATTAATAATAATAATAATAAATAAAAGCCAACCTTAAAAGCCAAACGTTCGTTATCGAGCTCTAATTGTTTTTTCATTTTTTCAAGTTGAAATAATCTTTCCTTGTGTTCGGCAGATTCATGTTTTAAAACTTCTTTTTCAGATGACACCTTGAAAATTTATAAATTTAAGTAAAAATTGTTTGATGACTTATCGATAATGGGTATTATTGTTAAAAACAAAATTTTTACTTTGATGATTTCGGAGATAAGATCGGCTTCTTTATTAACACCATTCAATCCGCTGAGCTTACTTAAAACGGCAATTTCTTCCATTAATTTAGCTCTGTCTGCTATTAAAAAAGCAACTTGTTCGCCTAATGAAGCATCGGCAATACCCTCAAGACCGGATCTTTCGAGCAAAGTTGCTAATGTCGCTGTTTGATGTTGAGACGATTCCAATCTTGATCTTAAACACATGGTTTCCGTTTCTAAATGATCTGGAAATTTTTTTTTTTTTGTGCATGTGAGTTATGCTGCGTTTATTATACGTCGCGACGATTGTTTTTTTTTTGAATTAAAAGAATATAAATAAAAATTACACCTGCACGTTTTTCCGCCAATTCTTTTATTTGACCAACATAACATTCCATTTCTTCTAAATCTTCGTGTTGTTGCTCACGTAATTTATCAATCATTTTTCTTAAACTACGAAGATTACTTTCAGCATCGACTAACCATCTCCAAACGTGTAATAATTTTTCTTCCGTTTTCAATCCATTATGATCTAAACCTTCTTTTTCGAAACGTTGACGTAAATCTCTCCACTCATCTTCTTCACACTTCAAAAAAAAAAAAAAAAAAATTCAAATAAAAATCTTTGATAAATAACGAGAAAAAAAAATTTTATTATAAAACTCACAACTACTACGCCATTATTCTCCGTCATTTTTTTTTTTTTTTTTTTAAGTTAAAAACAATTTCCAAAATTTAATAACATAAAATAAAAATATTAAATTCATGGCACGTAAAAATGAATTTAAAATTAAAATTTTAAAAAATTTTTATAAATAAGACAAATAAATTCGTCTATTCTCTTTCCGCATAGCCAACATTATTTTAATTTAATTTTTTCTTTTCAAACGTTGTCTGCACTGTTCGAATCATTCAAATTTATCGATTGTAACGTAATTAATGTAATCAAAACAATCATTTTTTAATTTTTTTTTTTATTAATTTAAACGATTATCGCTGATATTTTATCGAAAAACAGGTTTAATTATATTTAATTAAAATTAAAATAACCGAAAACATAATGCAACGTTTGAAATTAAATAAAAAAAAAAAGAAAAAAAACTTATAATTATTTTTACAACCCCACCATTAAACACATTTTAAACACAAACATTTAATTTTCTTTTAAAAAAAACTTTTTATTCTCACAACCCTTTCATAAAAGATCCACCCCCCCCCAAAAAAAAACACATTCACATAACATTTTCCTCCCCCATATTCACCCCTTAAAACAAAAAAAAAAAAAACAAAAATAATTTTATTACATTTTAATTTTAATTTTTAAATTATATTTTTAATTCAAATATGCTTAATATAATTACAAAAAATTAATTTTAATAATTTATTATATATTTATCGGCAACTAATTTTCGATTCAACGCAAAATAAATAAATAAAAAAAAAATTTATTGATTTATCATTATTATTATTAAACATGATTTAAGTCAGCAAAATATATTATCATTATCATTATCATTATTAATAAATGACAAAAAAAATAATAATAAAAATGACAAAATTTATTTTAAATAAGCTTTCATTAATTAATTAATTATTTCTAATTGACAACGGAACAAATAATAATAATAATAATAATATAAATGATCGTGAGAAGGGGGAAGAGGGGGAGGTGAAGGGGAAAGGGGGAATTCCTCGTCAAAACAAAAACAAAAAAAAAAAAAAAAAATTTATCATATTTTAATATTAATAACTAACACTTTGGTTAAAAAATGATTATTATTATGATTATGATTAAGATGATGAATCGAAAACAAGTTTTAAATAATAATAATAATAATAATAATAGTAATCGTACAATATAATAATAATAATAATAATAAAATAAATCACACAAATAAATCATTTTTTTTTTAAATGTGAATAATTTCATGTGTTTATATATATAATATATATATATATATATATATATATATATATATATATATAAATATCTATGTATACATAATGAATTTTATTTATTTATTTATTTATTTTTTTCCCTTTATTTATGTATTTTTTTTTTCCATAATAACCATCTACTTCTTCTCTCTCTCTCTTTCTCTTTTATTGAAAAAAAGGCAGATTTGTTTTCATCATTTCATTAAAAATCTATTAAAATTCCCACTACATATTTTTTTCTATGTATGTTTTCTTCTTTCTTTCATCGCCATCTTTCTTTGTTTGTTTTTGTTTGTGGTTGTTTCTCTCTCTCTCTCTTCTTTCTAACAATCAGAATCATTGACGTGACGTTCATTCGACGTAGTGATGACCGTACTAAATAAGACAAAAAAAAAAAAAAAAAACAGAAAAAAAAAACAAAAAAAAAGTTTCTTACTAGATTGAATTTTTACAAAAAAAAAAAAAAAAAAATTATTTGTATATAATATCACAATCAAATTATTTTATTCAATATTTATAATATATATATATTATTAATAATAATAATAATGATAATTAATTCACGTTCGCTCTCGCGTTCTCACATTTTTCCCTTAATTAAATCACATTTTTTTTTTTAATTTTCCATCAATCCTAACCTTAAATATTTAATTGAATGAATGAATGAATGAATGAAATTACAAGATGCCAACTTAAATTAAATGATCATCATCATCATCATCATCATCATCATCGACAAATCATTTATTAATTCAATTAAATATTAATTATTTCAAATTATTGGGCGCGCGAAAAAAAAATAAAAAAAAAATGCAAACAATAAAAAAAAAAAAAAATAGAAAAACTTATTAAATTTATTTATTTATTTTTAAGCTATTTTATTTAATGCCGATCAATAATTTATTTTATTAAACTTAAAAAAAATTTCTTTTCTTTTTTTTTTGTTCGCATTTGTGTTCCCTACAACATGCATTCAGTCACAATACAAAATTAAACTATCTTAACGCCATTAAGATATTTACAGACTTTAATTATTATTATTATTATTATTATATTTTTCGGTTGCATAAGTGATTATGTATTGATAACAAAAGCAAAATCCCACGCACGACAAAAAAAAAAAATAGAAAAAAAATAGAAATTCATTTTGCAAACGATTCGGAGAGAAAAAAAACTAAACGATAATAATAATAATTATTATTATTATAATGATAATGATAATTAGCACGTATGCAACCGAGCAAAAAACAAAAAATAAAAAATAAAACAAAGATTGATAAAACAAATCTTAAAAGTACAAAAAAAAAAAAAAAAATAATAATTATACTAATTATAATAAAAATATATTAAAAACCGTCCATATTTATTTTATATATATATATATATATATATATATATATATATATATATATATATATATGTAAATATTTATTAAGTTTTTAATATATTTTTTTTTTTCTCTCTTTTTCTTCTTTTTCATCTTCTTTATCTTTCTTTCTCTTTTTCTTTTTTCTTGAATCTTAAAGAAATTAGTTTTAAAAAATAAAATGAATGATATATATATTATATATATATATATATACTAATGAAAAAATATATGTATATAGGACTAGAGGAAAAGGGGGGGGGAATAATGTTAATGAGGTGGAGGAGGCTCCGTTGCTTGATTACGTCCGTCGACCGGCCTAACCGGTTTCCTAGAATTTGTCCTACCGAGGGACGACACTAAACCAGGCAAATGACGAACCTGTTGCTGGGGAGCAAGTATTCCCCTAGGAGGAGCGACACCCCTCACCTCTGAATGACTACCCGACGTTGATCTACACACAAAAAAAAAAAAAATTAACGTCATTCGTTAACCATTTATACTCGGATACTCTTTCGTTCTCAACATCTAACCCCCCTCCGACTTCCCTTCCCTCTCCTCTCCTCTTCCCTCCCCTATCTTTTCCAACCGAAAAAAGCGTTAATAATTATTAATAATTAAAGTTTAAAATTAAAATTAAAATTTTTTTTTTTTTGTAGGTGTTAAAGTTACCCTTGATGAGATGACTGAGGACGAGCACCTGTGTTTTGCGTGTGCGGGGGTTGTCTAGTGACACGCTTACTACTCGTTGCGTTATTTTTTGCAACGGCTACGTTTGATGTTTGCGTCTGCACGGAAGAAACTTGCGACATTTCCTCCCCCTGTTGAAGTACATTTTGACGACACGATTCAGAATTACTGAAAAAAAAAAAAAAAATTTATTTATTTGGTTGCGTCCAACAATTTCATAGCAATTTATTTGAAAACCATAATAATTATCACCATCTTGTTTCTTTCTCTTCCTTTACCTTGAAGTTTGAACGCCGTTATTATTGCTTATTTCCTCTGAAATGCCGCTATTTTTAATTCCTACATTATCTTGTTCTACCCTATTCTCGATTGAATTGAAAGTATCAGCGCTAGGTCCTGTCAAGGCCTCGATTCCAGCTAAAGTTGATAGAAAAAGTTCTTGAACAAATAAACTACGATCCGCTCTCTCTTGCTCCCAAACCTGAAGCTCAGCATCAGACATAGTTTCGTCCATACATCTAAAAAAAAAGAAAAATAATTTAATATTTTTGTGACGCCATTAACGATTTATTAAATTTATTTATTATTTTCACCTCGAAAGAAGAAACTGAGACTGGGATGCTTGAGGCTGCGTTGGCATATCTTGTGCCGGAGCGGCAAGAGATATAGAATTACAACCAGACGATGCTGATTGAGTCGGTCGTCGTGGTAAACGTTCCACTTGTTGTCTAGCAGCCTAAAAGAAAGAAAAAAAGAATTTAACGTATTCCGGTCAAGATGGAGGATTTGTCTAAATTTTTCTTAATCCAACTAACCCTAACTTGTTGTCTCTCCAATTGAAGTTGCATTTGTAGTTGTTGTAAAGTTGACGAAGTTGAAGCCTGCACAGCAGGACTCCGAACACCCGAGAGTTGACTTAATAGCTCAGTTATGGGATCTACAGTTTCTCTAGATGATGGAGATAAGCCACCTGAGGAACTAAAGTGCATGTTCGAACGTCTTGCACGAGGGCCCGTAACTCCTCTTGAGGGATGGGGCATTCTACGAACACCCGAACGAGATGGTGCCGGTTCATCGTGATTTTAAAATTAAGAAAATTATTATTATTATTATTATTATTAATTTTTTTTTCTCTTTTAATACGTAATCTAATCGTGTAATGCATGATAAAAGGATATTAAAAATGAAATTAAATCTCTAGGACCGCTCCTATGTTCTAACGTAAGGTGACCAGCAAAATCATCAGTTATTTGATTTGCTTCTCCACCTGGAAAGCTGGCACAAATGGGACAAATAACTTCCCTAGTTGTTTCAATATGATCAGTCGCTACATGTTCTTGAAGAGTAGCTTCCGTGTGTCCCATCTTACCGCAGTAGGGGCATGTATATGCCTGAGGCTGATCAGAATTAAGAGCCTCACCGGCATAATATAAATCTGCAATTATGAAAAAAATTGATAAATTTAAAAACTTCTAATAGAAAAATGAATGTGTATGACCACAACTATGATTATCACACACAATTAAAATCGATTGTCGAATAAATGTTTTACTTATTTAAAAATTAACATTTTCACATAACTTTTTCATTTACCTTCCATTTAAATGCAGTAAAATTCATTCATGCATTAAAATTACCCTCATATGTCCTAATAAATGTCCTAAATTAGTGATAAACTTAATAATGTGAGGTAAATGATTGTAATAATCGTCCAATGACCGAAAAAACATAGACATTCTTAAATTTAATTTCATCGATTAATCCAAAATGAAAAGACGAATGAAAGAAATCTATTTGACAATAGCTGACAACAATAGTAACAATAAAATAAAAATTTACCAAAATCTGAGTGAGTAAGTATACATTGCATTGGATGTTCCGTAGTATGTCTTGTTGTTGTTGCTCCTGATTCGAAACAAACAGCACATAAATCATAATCATAGCATATTAAGCATTTAAATCTTTTGCCTCTGAAATTTCCTTTGAGACATGAATCACAGCTAACTCCTGTTAAAATCCCCCCCAAAAAAACATAAAAATGATAATAAATTCAATACAATAATAATAATAATGATTAAATATTATTATTTGCTAAATATCAAACTTGAATTTTTGGATACGGTTAATTATATACCGTTTGAAATGATTTGTAAAAAAAAATTACAATCAAACAGAATTATTGAAATAATGGGAAAATAGATAACATTTAGGAAATATAAACGAAATTTCGATTAGGATAATTATGATTAAAAATAAAAAATAAGATTGATTGATTTGTGTTTAAAAAAAAAAAAAAAAAAAGAAAAAAAAAATTCTTATTTATGGATAAATAAATCGTAATTGTAATATTTAACAAAATGGCTGAATATATAAAAAAAAAAAAAATTCAATTTTTTAGAATTAAATAAATTGGAAAAAAGAAAAATTTAACGAATTATCAAAATAAAATGTGATGATTTATTTAAAATAAATAATTAAACAGAAATTAAACATGGATAATAATTTTATTCATTGTAAATTTTTTTTGTATTTAAAAACCGTAATCCTCACCTTCATGTCGTGACATGTCTAACACGACGTATTAATTTTAGGAGGCGAAAATATATAATTAAAAATATAACTCGTTTTAAATAATTAATTAATTAACTTAATAAATTTTTTATATAATTAATATATTCTCAATTAATTGAGAATTTTTTAACTATATTTCCATCACTAAAATTCTAACCCAACTAGGCCATCATGACGTCACAAAATTTTCTAGTGCCTTTTCAAATGAATTTTTAAGTTGGCGCCCCTGATAATATTTAGAGCCCAGAAAATTTTCATTTATTGAATTTACGCTCAGATCAACAAGTGTAAGAACAGACTCCGGTTATTAAAAATGGGTAAAGTTGTTATTTACGGTGGAAAAGGTGCTTTGGGAGCTTCTTGCGTTTCCTATTTCAAATCTAAAAATTGGGTTTGTATTTCTTTTCATCCATTCATAAAAATATAACCAATTTTTATTTTATTTTATTGTCTTTTTTTACATTACATGTCGGTTGATATTTTTATCTCGCCAACTTTTCCAGCAAAACTTTCACTGGAGAAAACTGGTGTAATAATAAAGAACACTCATCATTTTTCAATTTCGAATTATAAATGTTTTATATTAAATAACGTTTAATAACTTTCTTAGTAAATTTTTTTTTTTTTTTTGTTAATTAAGTTTTAAATAATTGGAAATTTTATCATTGATATGGTTCGTTTAATTGCCTTCGAGGGAGGTCATGTTAGAAAGGAAAATTTTGTCACTTATTATTATTATTGGTTCGTGATTGTGACGTCATCACAAAAAATTAATTTTTTCTTTTTAGTGGGTGGGTTGCGTTGATATGTCAGCAAATGGTGAAGCCGATGCAAATGTTTTGGTAAAACCTGATGCAACATGGAGTGAACAAGAAAGTTTTGTTTTATCCAACCTACAGCAAGTTTTGAACAATGATCGATTGGATGCTGTCATATGTGTTGCCGGAGGTTGGGCTGGTGGTAATGCAGCATCAAAAGATTTTTTAAAAAATTCCGAACTCATGTGGAAACAAAGCGTATGGAGTTCGACCATTGCTGCAAGTATCGCAGTAAAACATTTAAAAGAAGGTTTGTTTTTCAAGTCATGAACCTGAAACTGAAACTACCAAACTACCTCTCCCATACCCTCAAGTCATACCTCAAACACAAACTACCAAAACCCTTTTTCAAATTTCCTCGAGGGGATTAAAAATTTATTTTTGTCCTTTTCCTCTTATTTATTTACGTTACCGCAATCGTTATTGCCAAATTATTATTATTTTTTTTTTTTGACCTATTTGATAAACCTTGACTAAGACATAATAATAAAAATTACGTCATTAATGTAAAATAGTAATTTTACATTCTCTTAATCAACCGATTGATTCTCTTTCCCCCCATAAAATTAAATTAATAATAAAAAAAAATTTTTTTTAGGTGGACTTATCACTTTGCCCGGTGCCAGACCAGCACTCGAAGGTGGTACTCCTGGTATGATCGGTTACGGTATGGCCAAAGCCGCAGTACATCACTTAACGAAATCGTTGGGATCCCCCGACAGCGGTCTTCCACAGGGTTCCGTAGCATTAGCACTTTTACCCATAACTCTCGATACTCCGATGAACCGGAAATGGATGCCGAATGCTGACACGTCCAAATGGACTTCGTTAGATTTCATATCCGAGTCAGTGTTACCACAATAACTACTCTTTGACTTCATCGTTTTTAAAAACAAAACGTGGAATTGTTTTTGTTTTTCTTTTTGTTCCAGGCTTTTGTTTAAATGGACGCAAGGATTGGATCGTCCGAAAAACGGAAGTCTCGTTAGTTTGGTCACAAACAACAACGTCACCGAACTTGTTTACGCTTAGAGTAAACCGGAAGTAAAATTTTTCACGAATACGTCATTATGAATAGTTGAATCGTGATTGATATTATTATTATTATTATTATTATTTTTGCGACAATTATTCCTTTTCAAACGACTTCCCGCTCTTGAATGTGATTATGATAATGTTATCGTGCTTGAAATATATATTTTATACGTATATATTTATTTATATTATTATTATTATTATTATTATTTACGCTTTTCACGATATTTTTTAAATTGTTGGAAAATGTAATTAAATAAAAACGTTATATTGTGTACAGTCGGCATTTAAAAGGTCTTTTCTTATAATTCCTTTCGGATTAATTTGAATCTAAAAAGAGAGAAATGATTTATGGTTAGCTTATGATAATTAAGGATTTTTTAAAATGAAATAATTTATATTGAAAAACCAAAATATTAATTTTTAATTATTTTATATATATATATATTTAGTTTTTACAACCGATGGGGGGGGAGGAGGGAAGGCGGGGGGAAAGAAAACTCCCCTCTCCCCAAGTTCGAATTAAATAATTTAAACGCGACGAAAAAAGAAAAAAAAAATTATTAAAATTACTCTCGATTTCCGGTTCCGGAGTCCACATGTTATTATTTATTTATTAACTTTTCCAGTTGTTATGTAAATTTCAAGGTCACGTGGCCAGAAGACATGGTATATGTCGTATTGCATAATAATAATAATAATAATTATTTATCAAATGTACGTTTGATCGGAATTACAAGAACTTTCAGAACTTCTTTGTCTCATCGGCCTCCTTCTCAGCGACCAGGTACCAGCACTGGTCGCATATCTCAACCTTTGTCGCGTGAGTTTCTGCAAAACAAACAAACAATCAATTGTTATTAACCTTGACATTTTATAATTTAATTAATTAATAATAATAATAATAATGAATTTTTTTTTTTTTTGCATCGTACCTGACTCGGTTTCGATCGTAAAGCGTATTGATATTTTCTTTTTATAGGTTTAGGACAGCAAACGCATAAAATCCTTGCAAATGCACTGAAAATAATAATAATAATAAATTAATTAATTAAACTTTTTTTTGCCCTCATCGTTTAAATATTTTCGGAAAATTTATACGAAAAGGGGGGGATGAAAAGGTACGGAAAAAGGGGGAGGGGAAACAGTTCGAACGGAAAGAAAAAAAAGGGAAAATTTGATTTTTTTAAAAATTTAAAACCGTTTAATTAAGCTTTTTTATTTTTACAAAAGTGTCAACTTTTTATTTATTATTATTATTATTACTCTTCCTTTCACCTCTCCCCTCCCCTTCCCCCTTCTCCCCTTCGACAGTAAGATTTATTAAATTTAATTTTAAATTTTTTATATATATATATATATTTTTTTTAAATACCTCGAAGGATTTCGGTAAGATTTTCTATCGTTAAAAAAAGAAAAAGAAAACAGAAACTTTTTTTTTTTTTTTTTTTTTCTTCCCATAAGATTTTTCTTTAATACACCAGATGCTATAAGTCAGATGCCTTTGAAAATTTTCCTTTTTTTCCTTTTTCTTTTTTCCTTTTTTCTCTTTCTTTTCTTTCCTTTTTTTTCCTCCTTTTCTTTCATTTTTAATAAAAAGAAAAATTTATTTATTTATTTTTCTTTTATTTTCTCTTCTTTTCTTTTCCACTTTGATTTTAATAGTTGTTATTATTATTATTATCATCATCGTCGTTATTTCGATAAATTCAGGCACGCGTACGCGCACACGTATACCTTTGTTTCGATGCACTTGACTAAAAATTTTTACAAAATCGATTTTTGATTTTTTTAATATAAATATGTGCTTCCAATGTCGTAAAAAAATGAAAAATGATTTTTTTTTGCCAAACAAACGTGCACACACAAATAAGCAAACGAACAAACAAACAAACAAACAAACAAACGCAATCATAAATCCATAAATTTAGTACCTTGAAAAGAAAAAAAAACTTTAAAAATTGGCATCAGCCATTTTAAATTTCCGCCATTAATTTACGTAGAAAAAAATGAAAAAAAAACTTTTAAAAATATCCTTAATGCGTCACTGTTTAACAAAAAACTGGAATTTAATAATAATAATAATAATAATAATAATAATAATAATAATAATAATAATAATAATAATAATAAAATCAATTAAAAACATTTTTTTTTTAAATGTAAATATTGCGATGCGAATTTTTTATTTATTTATTTATTTTTTTTAATTTAATTTTTGATTTATTTATTTGTTTGTTTGTTTGTTTGTTTGTTCGTTCGTTTATTATTTTATTTATTTGAACAGGAACAACAACAACAACAACAACAAATAAATAAATAAAATTTCTATTTGAAATAATTTTCCTTTTCGAAATATTTATATAATAAATATCAATTAAAAAATAAAATGAAAAAAAAAAAGAAATTTTAAATTTTAAATTGTGACGTCACACACAACAACAACAACCGAAACAATTTTTTTTTTTTTTAATTTCAAGACAGAAACGTGTCGATGTGACGTCACATTCGATTTTTTCTCTTTAACGAATTAATAACCGAATAATTATAGGAAAACAGATAATAAAAAGTTTTTTTTTTTTCGGGAAACAAATCGAAACGTCTGGAATTTTCCACTCGTGTTAATGGACGTCACACAAACACGTAAATTTCATAATTCGTCATCATAGTTCATCAAATATAACCCGATCGTCGGAAATTTCAAAAAACGTAAAAAAAAAAAAAAAAATTTTTAATTTGTTTAAACAAAAACATTCCGCCATTTTTTTTGTTTACTACCCGGATAAATAAAAATATAAATAATTATAAATAAATAAAGGTAAAATTTTATAAATAAAAAAAAAAAAAACAAAATGGCGTCGCTCGACAACAACACAAAAAATAAATTTATATATGTATATATATTAAAATTTTCAAGATTAAATTTTTTTTTTTTAATATTTTAAATCATAAATTTAATTAAATTCCTTCTAATTTACGTCAATAAAATTTAACGACGACCTTTTGACCTTTTCCCCCCTCCCCCCATATACATTTATTAAATTCTAACGTCGATAAATAAATAAATAAATAAATATCGATCGGTTCGGAAAAAATTTTTTTACCGGTTAACCCAATTAAAAAAAAAAAAATTAATTTAATTAATTTATCATTATTATAATTAGGAGGGGTTTTCCGGGGGGGGCGAACATAACAACGCGACAAACGTAAAAAAACTTAAATTTTTTCAATTCAATAATTTTCGCGACGAAATAAAAAATCAAATTCTTTCGGAAAATAAAAAAAAAATTTTTCTTTATAAAAAAAAAAAAAAGAAAATCTTTTATCATTGATTTTAAATTGTTTTCCACTGATAAAAACCAATTTTCCAGTTGAGTAAATTTTTATCTAATAATATTTAACTGATATTATTATTTATCCAGACGATAAAAAAAAAAAAGAAAAGATAAAAAAATTATTATTATTATTTTTTAATAACTTTTTATCGAATTTAAAACGTCAGAAAATTAAATTTTTCAAGTACCTGAATTTTCCTCTGTAAACAAATAAAATTAATTTTTTTTAAAAACTATATAACAAATTATAGCTCTATATTATTATAGACTTTAATTCGTAAGTCAAATATAAAACGACTCCGTGATAATAATAATAATAATAATAATAATAATAATAATAATAATAATAATAATAATAATAATAATAATAATAAATAAATAAACAATTTTTTTTTTTTTCTAAACATTTTCCTTCAAGGCAAACAACGAAATCAGGAATATTATTTTTATTTATTTATTTATTTATAATAGTAAATTAAACGATTAACACACTCGTTCCAGAAACTGGAAAAAAGAAACTTATTTCCACGTGATTTAATATCTTGCTGGAAAACAAAACAAAACAAAAAAATAAAAAGAAACAAAAACAAAAAAAAATCAAAACAAACACAAAAAAATGAAGGTTCGGTTTTTAATAATAATATTAATAATAATAATAATAATAAATTTTATATCGAAATGTTTTATAATCCTGTTCGTTCCAGGAATTCCAGAGTGGGAAAAATGGGGAATTTCACGTTAATATAAAAAAAAAAAACTTATGGAAGACAAAAAAAAAAAAAAAAAATTTCAAAAGCGTCCATAATCGGTCGATGATAAAAAAAATTATTATTAATCGAACATTTAAAATTTTTTCTGGAACGATAAGAAAATCAAAACCTGAAACCTGAAACCTGAAACCTGGAACGCATATCGATTTTTTTTAACGTAAAAAAAATTAAGTTAAATGAATTTAAATTGAACAAATTATTATTATTATTTCGTTTAAAAACTTTTTTAACTTTTTTTTTTTGTTTCTGGAATTTGATTCTTACTTTATAATAAACTGGAAAAAATTTTGGATTTTATTTCTCCAAAAAAAAAAAAGTAAATTATTACCATTATTAAACATTATTATTATTATTATTTTTAAAAAATCAAATTATAAACTTTTTAAAAAATCTGTATTAATAACAGATTTCCAAAGGTTATCCCTAAAACCGGAGGAGTTGGGGAGGGGGAAGGGGAAAAACAAAAACGTTCCAGAAACGAAAAAAAAAACCGTAAAAAAAAAAAAACTTGGATTCTGGAACGATCGGAATTTAAAATTTATTATTAAAGTTTTTTCCCATTTTTTTTTTTTTTTAGTCGGTTTGTCAAGTCGAGTCTGGAGTAAAATAATAATTTATATAACCTGGAATTATTTTATAAGAAAAAAAAAATCCTGGAAATTTCACATCGACGACAATTTGTCCAAAAGTTCTGGAGAAGAAAAAAAAAAAATTTCGTCGTGTATTTAAATGATATGATCATTTGAGTTATTCTACCGCCACGTCATAATACCGTTTCTCTTTTTCGAATCGTAAAATTCACGAAAGGTTCAAAAAGGTTTTCTTCTTCGGGGGGGGAAGGAGGGGAGGAGGTGGGGGTGAGACCGGGAAGTTTTAATTTATTAACAAAATTATTATTACGTTAAAATGAAAACGTCAAAAGTGACGTTGACAAACTAAATAATAATAATAATAAAGGTATGTAATTTGTAATTGTTTTAGGTTTACGAGAACTCTGAAATTTACTCTTTTCCCTTTCCCCCTCCCCGTCTCCCCTTCACGAGAGAGATGGAGAAATGGAAGCTGGAAGAGATGCGGTGGAATGGAATGAGAAAATTGATAGAGTTATAAGGAGAAAATGAACTCGTCGACACAAAAAAAAAAAAAAATTTTCTCTCTCTCTCTCTCTCTAATTTTTCATTTTTTTTTTTTCAACTCTCACGTCCGTCACGCACGTCGTCGTTTTTGCGACTTTTAACAGTAAAACAACACATCAAGTAGCAGACGACTCAATTCAAATAGCAGAAGACTTTGTTTATTTTTTCGGCAAATAAATATTAAAAATAAAAAATTTTCACTCTACTGTACTTGTACCATCCCCCTCTCTCTCTCTCTCTCTTACTCACTCTCTCGATTTTCATTATTTAAATCATTGCGGTTTTCATTTTATCGAAATTTATTTTATATAATAATAATAATAATAATAATAATAATAATAATAATAATAATAATAATAATAATAATAATAATAATAATAATAATAATAATAATAATAATAATAATAGTCCCTAAGGAATCGGGTAGAAACCTGGGATAAATATTTAAAAACCCCGACAAATAAGAGCCTTGTCGTGTTTAATAGTGGACATAATAATAATAATAATAATAATAATAATAATAATAATAATAATCGTCCTACGCGAATTAGCATAAAATATTAAATTCGTGTGTTTATTATCAAAAGGGTCGTAGTAAAAAAATTTAACACGGGAGCAATGAACCGAACGGAGTAAAAAACCGTCGTTTGAAAACGCAGCGTGTGTGTGTGCGTATGTGCGGGTTTGGAAAACGGTGGGAAGTGGTGGGGGGGGATGGCGGTGGTGAGATAGAAAAAGCAAAGAGACGTGATTAATACTGGTTTTTTGAAATTTACATAGAGTTGTATGTTGTTTTATTTCCGTTCCCAACCGTTTGACGAAATCCTTTTTACGGTTAAAAAAAACCGCAAAACGATTTTTTTTCATTTAAACAAAATTTTCCACACACAGGTTTAAACGTTTTTCTTTTTTGGCTTTCTCCCCTTTCCCCCCCCATCTCGAAATTTTTTTTTATTTCCGGTCGAATTTTTGATTTAAAAAAATCCCCCCCCCCTTTTTAAAAGTTAAACGCGTATGAATTAAAAAAACGCGCGTGTTTGTATTGATAATAAATACCACTGGAAAATATTAATATTAATAATAATAATAATAATAATAATAATAATAATAATTAAAGGGCGGAATCGAATTATTTTTTTTTTAACGGGCGAAAACAAAAAATAAAAATGGCTGCCAAATAAGTAGAAACAAAAAAATAAAAAAATAAAAATTTTTTTTCC